GAGAGAAAAAAGAAAGATCTAAAAGAGAAAGCTATTAAGGACTTCAAGGTTTCAAGCCAATTCTTTCAACTTCAAATGGAGTTCTCAAGGGTCAACGTAATCAGTGCCCTTGATCTGACCAAAGATAAGGTACAATTCAAATTTATCGACTCTAACCTTGATCTCTTTGATATTTATATCAATAATATTAGATCGAGGCCTCCTCCATGTCAACCAAGGAAGAGAAAGAAAAAGAGGACAATAATGTGGCCATAGATGCCAAACTCGAGGTATTTTTGAGGCTTAAGCATGAAGTGAATGAGGCTGAAGAGGTTAAGGCCGTTGCTACGGCTCTTGTTGATGAGGGTGCTACTACTACTATTACTGATGTTGATGACACATAATTTTCTTTTCTTTTTTAGTTTTTTGTAAATTTTTTTTTTTGGAAATGCTAATATATGAGGTTAATTTTTACGGTGACCTTGAATAGGAATATTTTAATGACAACCCTTTAGTTAACAATTTTTGTATTGATCATACCAATAAAGAATACATATTTTATTCATTTTATTTAAGTTCAGTTCAATTCTTTTATTTTTTTTTCATAGAAGTTTAAGCTCGATTAATCACGGTAGCATGAGTTCTATGGATTTATGGTAACAAGTTTAAACTTAGTGTTTGATTTGATTGAAGTTAATTCGATCAAGCTCGGTTAAGTGCCCTGAAGATTTACCTGGTCACTTAGGAATATCTCCATTTAATTAACTTGAGAATCCATCTAAGTTTTAGGTTAGATTTTATTAAATTGATTGAGGTATGAGCTTAGTGTAAGCGTATACATCATCAGGTGAACGTAATTTGATTTTTATATTCAAGTCTAAAGTATAAGTGTGAGCTCAATTTAGTTCGAGCTACTGGTAATAGCCTTTTAAGTTATTCGTATTACATGTCCTCAGGATAATGTTGTCATTCATATCATATACCTTGTAAGTCGCATCATGGACAATCTTTTTGACTACATATATTCTTTTTCAGGTCAGGGTTATTTGCCACCTTAGTCATCTACTCCTGAAGCTTTTGCTTTTTTAAGCACTAGATCATCTTTCTTGATATACTTACATTAGATCTTTTTGTTGTAATAGCTAGATACCTTTTGTTGATAAGTTGTTATTCGTATTAAAGCTACATCTATTTATTCTTCAATGAGATCCAAATCAACATTTAAAGTTTTTTCATTTCTTTCTTCTGACCCTAATTCAACCTTTAAACTCGAAAAATCTATCTCAATCGGTACTATAACCTCTAATCCAAATGCTAGATGGAATAAGATTTTACTTGTTGGTACCATAATGGTCATCTTTAGAGCCCATAACACCTCTGGTAGTTTATCGAACCACTTTTCTTTCATTTCGCCTAGTCTCTATTTTAGGGTTTCTAGTATTGTCTTGTTCACCGCTTCAACCTATCCATTAGACTAAGGTGGCAACTGATGTGAATCTTAGGTTTATATAAAGGTTTGAACACCATTCCTTGAATCTTAGGTTTTTAAATTGTTTATCATTATCCGTTATTATGGATCGAGATAAACCAAATCTACAAACTATATTCTTCTATACAATTTCTTAACTTGGGCCTTTGTCGTAGTGGACCAGTTTGCTTTCTAGTCTTTTTTTTTATTATTGTGACATAACACTATCATGCCATGAACTGATCTCCTCTAACCCCTTCAATCCCTTTGGGTGTTGAGAATTTTACTTTTAGATAAAAATGTATCGATTTTTTAACCATTATAATCTTCTTTCTCTTAAGACAAGTAAAATATCCACAATTCTCGTAAGTTTCCTATAGTGGGAAGCAAATGAGCGAAAGCCTTTCTAGTTTTTGCCAGTTTTAGAAAGTAAGCTTGTTATGAATATACTTATAGTCCAAGGGCATATAGTCCTATAAGCCACATAACAAATTAGTTAGGTCACTTAATATCATATTATAGGTAGATGAAATGTCCATAACCATAAATTCTATAATCGAAGTGATAGTTTTCAGTTCTATCCCCAAAGATATCAATAACTTGATTGTTCCGTTTATTGGTACATGTTCATTCCTAAATCCCACTAACGTCGTAGTGATCAATTGCAACTAGTCTTCATTGATTCCCATTTTTTTATGGTGCCATAGTATATAACATTAGTCAAGCTTTGTTATCAAACAAGATTCTCTTAACTACATAATTATTTACTATAGCTATGATTACTATGTCATCATCATGTGGGTGCTAGATTCTTTCCAAGTCTTTTGGACTAAATGAGATTAGTTCATTTTTTTAGTCTTTTTTTTGTCAAGGTGCCCACAACTATGATTATGCTCAGATTGAACTTTCTTTTAGCCGAGGTTGAGCTGCCTCCTGTCATCATATTGATCACTCCAACGATCAACCTGTTGTTATCAATTCGATTTTCTTTTCATCTCAATTCATTTTTTTAAACTTTTTTTCCTATTTTTTGGCCTCATTTCCCACCCCGGATGGGCTTACTTAGGTATAATCTGTAATTCATTTTGTGTTGACATTGTTTTTATTGCTCTATAAACTTTTTCAACTGGCTTTGCATAATCACAGCTTTGAACTTATTTTTTTAGGTTAACACAATCTTCAGTATTATTGCCTATGTCCCTATGAAAGGCATATCTTTTAGTCGAATCCTTCTTTGTATTCTATCTCAATGGTTTTGGTCATCTGAGGTTAGAATTTTTTTCAATTTGCATCAAAATCTTCTCTCAAGAGATATTCAGTGCAGTATAGTTTCTTTCGTCACTAAGGCTTCTAGTCCTATGTTGTCTCCCTCTTGGAGTGATCGTAAAAATCCTTATCTTTTTTACCATCGATGAGGGAGGATAGGCCTTTTTACCTTAGCCACCGAGGAAAGGGGATGAGCCTCTCTCACCTCGATTGTTTCTCATTGTAGCTTTTGCATTTATATATTTTTCAGCTACAAGTAGGACGTCAGCCAAAGTTTTAGGTGATTCTACTAACAAGGTCAACTTTATATAGTACTCTACGTCATTGAGTTCACTTGTTAAGGTAATTACAACAGCTGTTTGCTCCAGGTATTTTACCTACAGAGCTTTCACATTAAAATATATGACATAACTCTTTAAAGATTTGTTACGACCTTGGTGGATAGATATCAAACTCAAAGTTTTGTTTTTCGTTCTTCGACTACTTAAAAATTGAGACAAAAAAGAATAGTTAAGTTCTTTAAACATTGTAATTAACCTCGATTCCAAGGTGCTATACTAGGATCGAGCTACACCATTTACAGTGGTAACAAGGCCCTTACACATTTAAGCTCCATCTGCATCATACATCATCATATTAGTCCTATAAAGTTTTAAATGATCGAAGGGATTAGAAGTACCGTCGTAAGTTTTTAAGGTCGGTATTTTGAACCTTTTAAGAGACATGGCTCTATCAATCTCTTCAACAAAGGGCGATGTCTCTAAAAATTTAAACTCATCCTCGAATGCCACTGCCTTTGTTTTCAGCTCTTTCTCTATGGCCTACATCCGAGCTTCTAGGTCCTTGTTTGGTTAAGGTTTGAGGTTTGTCTGTTTCGATTTTTTGATCAGAACATATGTCAAATTATGACTGGAGTAATGACAAACTGAGGTATTATGTTCTTCTTCTTTAGAGGCTGAAAAGGTTTCCATCTCATCATAACTTGGCTATCTTACTACAACTCCTCAACTAGGGGTGATTAGGTCAATCACTTTTGAAGCTTGTTGTTAGGTTATGGTTTGCAACATCTGTTTAAAGGCTTATATCTACTCGGTCAAAACCTGGAATTATTCCATGGTTGGGCCAGTTTATGGTGGGGCAAATTGGTTGAGTGTTGGTTATTGTACGTTTCTGTCTCGGCCAAGATAACGATTTCTCCTTCCACTAAAGTTATTTTTCTATATGGCATTATTTCATGCTCGGCTAGTGAGTGAAAAAAGCCTCTTACCTAGTGTGCCAAATATTTGTGCTGAGTTTTGATTTTAAGGTATTCTTGAAAAAATAGAAAAAAAAAACGTTAGAGTCAAAATTAGAGAGTGTTCCTTGTTTTTGCATTCCGATACACAAATCAAAATGAGTGAGGTAAGAATGACAATAATATAAATTGATCTTACCCTAATGATGCTTAAACATTCATATTTATATAATCGAACTGATGTGATATTGAATATGTCATGTTGACACAAATATTAAAATTATCTCTCACCCGTGTCTATTGAAAGCTTCTAATAAAAAAAACTATTATATTTTTTTAACTATAAAATGTCCCAACATGTGATTTATAAATAAGGGTTTATTCTCTCCTATCGACACATTTTTTCTAAGGACAAAACTAAAACAAAGGTCATGTCAGACCTACAAAATCGTCCAATATCTCCAACAATCTTTGCATCGAAACATTGTCAATAGATCAAAAACAAAATGTCAATTAACCTCCGATGGTCAACAGACATACCATGTTCCTGTGATAAGAACCATAGATGAATTTTAAACAAAGTAGCAGCAGCTGTCTTAGGCCTTTAAAAAGGAAAGAGATGGAGACTTGACAGTGAAGACAGCGTAGAAGTGAGCCGGATTGCTGTTTAGATTTAAGACAAGAAGGAAAATAAGAGATGTCCTCCTTTTGCGTAAGTGGGGTTTTTGTTTATTAAAAGTGCCTGCAACTCTGAACACTAGGAAACGGAAATGAAGAACATAAAGGACGTACTATATGGTAACAAATGGGCCATGGGATCACTGTATGGACCAACTCTGCACATGTTTGTAGGGCCCATTTTATATGAGTCGGGTTTAATTCAGGCTCCGATTTCTTAACTTCCAATTTTGATGCTTCATTGTTGTGTTCCAAGGCCCAATTCCATTGTTACATCAATTGAGGCTAGGTTTTGTGATAACGTGTATGTTTATATAATTATATATTTTATAAATAATTATTATTTAAAAATTTTTAATTAACATGTAAAATTTGTTCACGGTGTAGAATTTTCTGGTAGATTCGAGAAGCTCCGGCCGCGCCGCATGAAAAAGATGCTCTATTTCAAAGGAAACGGTTAAGATTTCTCAAAGCCATTTTATTTGGGTGACGTGGCGAAATTTGGGCCGAGATGTCCATTGATATGCAATGACGATATCCACACATTAGCCTCCTCTAAATTTGTCTTTCCACTGCCTCTTTTCTCTTTCATCTTCTCCTTCAAGTTCATTTCTCAGCTTGCTTTTTTTTTTTTTCATTCATTAAAAAAGATTAAAATTTTAAACGTACCCTCAATATTTCTGTAAATTCAAATTTAATTGAAGATTTCAATTTTTTTTCTTTTGTCGAAGTCGAATTGGTGTAAATTCTAGGGTTTTTGATAGAACCACCCTTGGGTGAATGCAAAATGGAGGATTTGCCGTTGCCAGCTCTCTTCGAACAAGCTCGTAAGATCCATCTAACGGCCACGGAGTCCGGTGCTGATCAGGTACGCTCCTTCCCATGCTTGATTCAATGTTCCTTCACTGCTTTTTGATCTGATAAATGTGAATTTTTGGGTCCGCAGGATCTGGTAAAGAAAGGATGCGAGGCGCTGGGGAAGTGCGAGGACATGATCAGCAAGCTAGGGCTTTTCTCATCCAATGAGACCAAAGAAGACATCAGCACCACCAATCTCAAGTATCTTTTGGTAATCATCAATATTTTTATTTTCTTTTTTACTTTTTACGATAAATGATAGTACTTAGTATTTACATCAAGTTTTTGTTTGAAGTTTTGATTTTTAGTTCATTTATAATAGCACTGTAATTACTCTTTTTTCTCCTTAAATAAATTGGGAGTTATTTATTTTTAGAATATTTTGATAAAAGTAGTTATGGCTTAGCCTGTAATTTAAGTAGTATTTAATAACAGGTAGATTCTAACTGTTGTTTTACATTACAGGTGCCATTTTATCTTGCAGAGCTGACGGAAAAGCTTGCCCAGGATGACAGGATACAGATTCTCAAAACTTCACAGGCAAAATTGAAGGTATATTTAGTTCACACCACGAAGCGGACTGTGGTTTAAAGCTCATTGTGAAAGTTTAGCATTAGAGATAAAATTTAACAACGTTATTTGATAACTATTTTTTTAAAATCAGTTTCAACTTGTAATTTATTAGTTTTTCTTGTATGTCATTTGGAACTTATAGAAAATGTGGTGTCTTCTAGGAATTCATTTCATTTTGTGAGGCAATGGAACTTGTACCAAAGGAAGAGTTGGAAGCTTCTGCACAAGGAGCTTGCAATTCTTTTGCTGATCGAAGAGCCTTAAAGGTAGTTAGTTATGTATACTCTGAGTAACAGCATGAATTTTGTTTTTATTGGACGCATCCTGGTTCTTTGATTTGAATGGAAAAGCTGCTGTGGTGTGTGTGTGTTTTTGTGCCTGTATACAGATTGCTCGATTCAGACGCCAAAGAGCTGCAGAAGCAAAACTGACCGAAATAAAGGAGCGGAAGGAGCGGCGCGGGCGTTCAGCAAAAGCAGCTGCCTTATCCACTCCTGTTGAGGTTGGAGAGGAGGAGGTGCTGGATGACGATGGGGAGGAAGAACGGGAGGTTAGTCCTCACTCGTCTTCATGAAATACCTTTTAAAGTACCACTTCTTTAGATATGATACTACTATTAAGCCTTTCCTGTTAGATGCTGAACTGTTATGATATGAAAATCTGCAAATACATGGAACTTATGGAAGGTAATGCATGAAATGGCACAGAAGGAATCTCTAGCAACTGTTTTATCAATTATCTGTTAAAACCAAGATGCCGGGAAGCTTTTCTTAAGGTTATTATTTAAGAAGGTTTCTTTTGAATTTGTCTGTGGTTCATTAAATTATTGTGCTTGTGTTCATGAAACCAGGGAGCAAGGAAGGTATAGTTAGGGCTAGCGCATAAGAAGGTTCCACCTGAATTGGTTCTTTCTTTGTTTCTTTTGCTTTATGTTTTGTCATAAGAAATTTCTTGCTAGAATTGTGATTATGTTCGGGGTGACTGTATATCTACAGTTTGAAATCGTATATGTAAGGTTATACTTCCCTGTTATAATTCAAGATCTTGTAACTCAGGTTTTGCTCATTTTTTTCCCCTTTTGTGAGGTATGATATTTTATCTACTGGATGTTACTAGGGTCCAATTGGGAATTACAACTACACTTGACCTGTTGCCTTGGTATGCAGAAAGGAAATATTTGCCGTCCTTTATTATCCCTAAAATTCTGATGATGGTCCTTTTTATGTCATGAAGAATGTAGCTGATACTGAAAATTAATTTGGTTATTGTTGTCGGAATAAATGTATCACACATTGAAACAGAAATGTTATTCCTAATGCTTATTGTTGAAGAGATTAGTTGTGCTTCTTTGTTTTTGCAAAACTTTCTGGTTTCTCTAAAAGAATGATGTTCTCCTTGTGCAGGCTTGGCTTACTACTATCTCGCTAACTATTTGTAAGGTTAGTCTTATAAAATCTGCCATGTAAAAGCTTTAAAGTTCTTTTCCATGATAGTGATAACTTCATTCCACTTTCTGCCATGTTACTACAATTGCAGGCATTTGATCTGCTTGAAATGCTAAAGAAGGAAGAAGAAATGCTTTCTGCTATAAAGGAAAAACAACTAAAGGTATTAATCTGCTTAAATGATCTATAGCTTAACTGTTGCATTAAGTATTTGTGTTCTTTCCTGAAATTTTTACTTCTCTGCCTTGTGAACTTTTTAGTAATGAGTTGTTCTGAAAATTTCCCCAGAAGAAGATTTAAAGCTTTAAGTAGAGCACTACTTGAAGAATGACACTTTATACCCCACTTAGGAGATGTGAAGCATCACTTAAGTTAGATATTTTATGATGTTAAGCGTTGGAAGAGGACATTTAAATGTAGAACGCCAAGATTGACAATGTTCACCCCTTTTAAGAGATTGGTTACTTAATTTTTCTGGTAAATACAAGAACCTTGTTATCATATTAAAGTTCTTGTAACTTTTACTTTATTCTCTAGGCTTTCTACAAGGTCAACTGGCCATTGACATTGGAGAATATTGGATAGTCTTCTATAATTTACAGAAATCTTTGATTAAATCACCTGAAGCAGAGTGTTGTAGTTTAAGGTTATATTTGGTGCATAGGATGATGGATAGGATAGTATGATAATCATTCTATATTATGTTTGGTTTGTATCTAATTGAGAGGGATAGGATTACAAAAAGGATTATCATCCTCTTGGTATAGGATGATTCAATCCTCCCAAAGTGGAGAGGATTATTTTTAATCTATGTGATTATGTCCTATTATACTCTTAAAAATTACATCAATAGTTTAAATTGAATAAACTTTGAGGAAGGATAATTTTGACCAATAAATAAATTATCCTATCTTAATTCTTGTATACATCAAACATAAGATAGGATGACATTATTTAGTCTAATCTTACTCATAATATCATCTTATCCTATTCTATTATAATCTTGTGTACCAAACATGATCTAAATGATAAACATTATAATCTTTTCATTGCCTTTCAGACCAACCATGACTTTACTACCTGTCAGTGTCTCCAACTGATAACAATGCTCAATTTCTTGTGAATTGCTTAGGCCAGTGCACTAATGGCCAGCTTCTGTTGGTAACTTGTGTTGAAAAAGATTAATAGTTTTCTTTTTGGGGTTTCAGACAATAAAATAACAGTTTTGTTTAAAGGAATCACCATATTCATTTCTTACCTTTTTACTCAAAATTTGAAAGTCCATTCCTAATGAAGCAGTTTGAAGTTTCTTATGTGAACATGAATTGATGGCATTTCTCTTTTTCCTTGTATTTCAGGAAGGAGAAAAGGAATTTTCTCAGGCTATCCTTGATGATCGCACCAAGAAAGCAGAGGCATGGCATCATGATGCTGCAGCTCGTGCACGATATACTAAACCCACACCACCTATCACATGTGCTACATTTGCTCAAGATGTTATTGAAGGAAGGGCAAAAGTTTCGCAGGCACATGACCACAAACACCAGCCAATGATCTTTGGACCACAAAGCCTTATAGGTGGAAGCCTAACAAATGAGAGGGAAAGGATGGCAGCACAGGTTTTCCAACCTGGTTATAGGTAAATCTCTGTCCTGAAAACTTTTATTTACTTTCTATTTTATTGTCTGGGATGAAGGAGAGGTTCCAGCATCAAATTCTCTTGTTAAACATCTTGCCATGTTATGCCAATGTTAGCATTTGATTAATGGACACATATTGGTTCTCATCATATGAAAAAAAAAAAGAAAAAAAAAACATTGGTGTTTCTTGAATGTATTGTTTTCAATTGCCTAATCAAAATTATCTTGTGGTAGGATGCCAACTATGAGTATCGAGGAAGCTGGTTTGAGGGAGATGGAAATGATGAATAAATGGCAGGAGAGGAATGCAAAAATGTTTGAAGAAGCCAACTCAGCATGGTATAAGGACAGCCCAAAGTTGGGACCAAGTGAAGATGATGAAGATGATGATGCTGCCCAAGAGAAGGCAAGGGCATGGGATGACTGGAAAGATGATAACCCTCGAGGTGCTGGTAATAAAAAGCTTACCCCCTGTGGATGAAAGCTGACAAGTAGTTCTCATATTTCTCTTATGATGCATTCTTTCAGACTTAATTATTGGTGGTTTTAGAAACATTTTCCCAATTTCTATTTTTCTAATAGATGTTCTTATAAAATTTTGTCAGTTTGCTTTGAGCAATGTATAAAATTCATGTCAATTAGAACAAACTTGGATCTGTGTAGGTTTTACCAAGTTGGGTCATCTGAGTGGATTGTTTTAGGCTTCAAGCAAATGTCTAGGTGCCAAACTTTGAGACTGAGAATAATGAGATACGAACTTGAAAATTGCATGAAACATAGAGATCCCACTGTAGAGTGCTCTGCATTGGCACCAATATGTAAACATTTACTGGCTTAACTCTCATAGACTCATTCCATGTGCTGTGCTGCTGAAAACGTGGGTGGTGTCCGTAAATATTGGCAAATAACGAAATGGAATGCTTAACAGCCCTTTGATTGAATTTGTTGCCTGTTTATTTTTCCATTACTCACCATTCTTGCTTGGAATTCACAATAGAGGATTTACTCTTAAAAAAATAAGCCTTTTCTTTCTTCTTATTCCTCAGCAAGTTGTTAGTTTATATGTTTACTACAGTATTCTACATCACAAAGCCAGATCCAAGCGTCAACACAGGCTAATCTGTAACTAAACAAGTGATTTAATAGGACCAAAATTGGTCAGTTTGGTCGGTTAAGTGTCGGCCCCTTGACAATTGGTGGGAATGCTGGCAGACCAACTTTTTCCCAACCCTCTTTACTCTCCACCATCTGCAACCATCTCTTGATTACTACAAGTGATTCTTTAAAAGATGCCACAATGCCAGCCAGTGACAGATAATAGTTAACAAACTTTTCATCAGTTGTTAAAAGGAACCGCATACAATTTCAAAGTAAATTTTAACTATCCCTCATCTCGTAGGATAAGACCTCCTGGAGTTTGTGGATGTGTCATTAGTGTTTTGTTAGATTTACCAATAGCCTTGCCCGCTGATTTGTGGCAAGGATCGGCAAGCCTATTGATTGCAGAATTTAGAATGGTGAACTCCACTGAACTTTTTCTGTTTGAGTGGACTTGAAATAAAAATCCCACCGCCTTTATTTTGGAACATTTCAAAAGAAAAAATACGATGGGTAAGAATGATAAAATAAAATACTAGTCTTAATTTCAATAATTATGTTTCAAATTCTAATAACTTTAATTATAAAAAAATTGAAATACATGCAAAGTACAGAAACGTTCTGGCAGACACCTGCTATTTGACAATCGAAGGGAGTCTTATCAATTTAGTGCCTACCGTGTCAGGAGTAAGGATTCTTGCCTAAGAACATGACAGGCAAATGAGTTCCACAATCTTATCAAATTGTACGAGAACTTTGATGATGTTGATTGGATGACGTTTAGTTTTTAAGACATGATATATCAGTCTTACCAATAACTTCCAGGCATCCAGTCCACGTCACCTCAGAGCCACAGCTTTTATGTACAGAGCCGATGAATCCATGACCTTTTGTTAGTTCAGTTCTCTTAAGAACTTGAACCATCTACGCAAATGATTGACACCACAAATTTTACTCTTTATCTTCTACAGTCCAGTCTTTGCACGTTTTGAATAAACTATATATCGGTTCATAAAAGGAAAATTCATGGGGCAAAAGCATAGTAGACATTGTAGCTTTTAATGGCTGATGAGTTATGACTCAAAACTGATAACTGAGGCTTGACATTTATTGTTGCATTAAGCTCAGGTCAGTTCTTGCTAATAAACCAGAAACATGGTTAATTTCATAAAAGATCAACCATTTCCATTTTGATGCAGAAAAAAAGATAACAATCTTGCTAATCAGGTATCATAAAGAGAATAGATAGTAATGTAATGTGCATAGAACCTAATGCTACTGAACAAATCAATTTTCTCAGCAAAAGACATACCAGAAGGTAGTTTTTTTTTCCCTGAAGAATGCACTCCTGGTGGTTGCCAATTGAAAGCCAATTTGTTGCAACTGACAGTAGCAGGAATTTAGAGTACTAATAGAAGCACAAATTCAATTCCAGAGAGTATTGAATATAGAATTATGTTTCTTAAAACCAACATTTGAAGAAAGATATCCGCAAACTTTTAACCTTCCAAACAATTAATAATCTCAAAAGAAAAGTTATTGAAATGCAGAATGATCTAAAAATTAATCATTCTGAAGAGAAAGATGGAAACTGTTACCTCAAAAAGGAATTACTTCTATTACTGACAAAAAGAGCAAAGGAAAAGCAATAAGCTGATTCTTTTATCAATTAAAGAGAAAAGAATATCAGCAACAATGCCAGCGGAGGATTTATCTATAGGCTGTGGGTATAAACAGTTTTTGGTACAATTACATGTAATTTTGCAAACCAACAACTGAAAAAAACAAAGACTTGTTCTGAGATCATCAACAAAAGAGTTCATAACTCAAAAGAGAATTACCAGTTGAAGCCAGAACTGAAAATTTGAGAGTAAATCAAACACTTTCTATTACAATTTTTACAATCCCCATTACACTGTTCTTTGTCCACCCGCAGGATGCCGCTCCGTCAACGGAATTTGTCATTCAACTCGTTCCTTCGACCAGCAAATTATACAATAGAATGAAAAACAATTCCCCAGAGGCAAAAACACAAAACTTTCAACCATCAATGCACTGAAAGCCTCTGCAAACCCATAACCAAACCCCAAATAAAGTAGCACAAACAAACAAATCCAATATCAAAACCACCCAAACATGTTTCCTCCAAGTTTGCTTAGCCTTTTGCCTATCCCCACCACCCACATTAAAACCAACAGCACCACCTTTTTGCATAGAAACAGGGAAATCTCTAAAATCATCACTCACATCAACCGTATTCTCCATCCCAAACCCACCATCAACATCTTTGGCCTCACCCCCGTTGACGTCCAAACCACCCAATCTTTTCTTCTTTTTCAACCCTTTAATTGGCTTCCCTAACAGAGGAGCCATCACGGTTCTCTTCCCTTTGTTAGAATCTAAACTTGGGTTTCGACTCTCTTTTGTTGGGGATGTAACAAACTCCAAATCCAAAGTCATTATCTCTGAAAAGATTGGATTGAAATGGGATTGGAGACAATTTGGGGTCAAATTATCGGTGCCCACAAGTAAACCATTCAGAAGAAAATCCTCAAAAGCACATTTCAGGCGATTCAAGAACCACAAAGACTCAGATTTCTCAAGATCCTCGTGGAATATTATGAAATAGGCAAAAGGGTCATCGATTAAGTAGGAGTAGGATCTGTTGGAAGCGGTATGAGAGAACATGGAATGCATAGGAGGGGGTTTTTTTGATGCATTTTCGAGCTAACGATTCGATTCCCGCTTCTTTGGAAGAGTATTCAGCAAGAATTGTGTGTCCCTTTGCAATGCAGGCATAGAATATGAGATTTGGATCGGAAATCATTTGATGGGTTCTTCTTAAAAATGGGAACTTCGATTTTGATTTGATTGGATTCCTAATTTCTCACCCCTCCCCTCTCAAGAAAAAAAAAAAAAAAAACTCCCTCTTTTCGTTTCTCTATCTAAAAAGAAACGAAGAAAGGTGTCTGTTTTCTGGTTTCTCCGATTACAGATTGAATCGTGTTTTTGCTAGGGTTGGGAGGAGAAGGATGATGAATTGCATCCCTCGTAGGAAATTGAAATAAACAAATAAAAAAACAACTATAAAATTGAGACGAACATAACAACGACTCCCATTTCATCAAAATACCCTTCTTTAGGGATTCTAATTACGGGACGAAGAATTTTATGACGTCGGCATTTTTCAAGAGATGTAATTACCAACATGCCCCGAATCTCGGCTGCTCCACATTCACAGCAGCCCCCTCAATTTATTCATTTTCATCCATTCAATCCACCCCAATCATTTTATTTTATGGTTTTCTAAAGTCTATACTGCCTTATATTAAAATAATCTTAAAGGGATTAAAACATTGACTACTGTCCATCAAAAAGGATTTATGAAATATGAATTTTTAATTTGTTTATTAACATTTGTATAATTTATTTTTAATTTTTTTATTCTCTATTTACTTGCAGTTTTATATTTCTTTTTATGTTTTTTTAAATAATCTTTTTTATTATATTTACTATTATTAATTAACAAAAAACTTATACCTTTCAATTATCTGGCAAAATAAAAATTTTTAAGGTCATATCATAGTGCATTCTTTTTTACATTTTACATTTTTAGATAAAAAATTTAATTTGTATGTATTAAAATGTTTTAAACTTTTGAAGTTTTTTAAAATTTTTTACTCTTTATAGTTAATTTACATCTAACAGTCTTTTTTTTTTTTGTTAAAATATTTTTATGCCAAATTTCTTATGTTTTTGTATAATTTTAATCTTTTTTTTAGAATATGATGAGAGTAAACAATTAAAATAGATTTATGAAATATGAACTCTTAATTTAATGGCAGCAACGGAAATCAGTTCACTAGCCATGACGGCCAATAGACGACCTCCAATCCTCCCCACCAACACCAGCATTCGGGCTACAGCCTCCTTTACTACGTCTAGACTATGGGCACCATTTATTTTTTAGGTCAGGGCTCCTTGGGGCCTGGTAGATTGTTGCTCCTCTAAATGAACTTAAGAAATCACAGCCAGAGAATTTCGTTGTTGATGGCACTGGTTTCAATGGGTTACTTATGGTCACGTTCCCTGTTGCTATTTGACCGAGTCTTGATTTCGCAGCTTCGACTTAGGAGATTGGATTGGAGCCACATGACTAAGGACATTATTGGACACTGATTGCGGTTGCTGCTGCTCTGCGATGCGACCCTGAATCTGTTGTTGTCACAGCCATAACATCTATCAACAGTCTTTTCAGACATGCCATCAGGTCCCACATCCCATTTCCATCCCAGGAAAAAGTAGGGTCCCGCGATCGCCATCCCAAGCTCCATATGGTGCAATTCTGACGAGGGACCAAATGAAGTCTGAATTTGATTTCAAATTTGAAATTTAAATCGAACTTTTTTTTTTTTTTTTTGAGTTTAGATTAAAATAAAATTTAAATTATTTAATTTTTTTATTAAATTTGTTTATTATTAAAAAATAAGTTTAATTTTAATAATTAATTTAAGTTTAATTATTTTTGTTTAAATTTGAATTTGAATTAAATTTTTATAAATATTTTATGTCAAATATTTTTAAAATAATAATAATAATAACTTACACAATAATTAAATCAACAATTATCTAAATTCAAAAAAAATAAAAGTTTTTCATCAAATTATTCAAATACAATATAGATAAAATCATATTTAAACTTAAAAATTAAAGTTATAATTAAAATTTTAAATATCAATCAAATAAGTCCACACAAATTGTAACAAATCAACAATAATATCATATGCCTATCAGGAAGCCTTCACCATTTTATGTCTTCAAATGAAGATTAGGCACACATTATTTTCCCAATAAACCTACACAAAAAATAATTACAAAGCAAAATAAATTACAATTTACAATAAGAAAAAATGGTAACTTAACTATACTAACAAAAATGTAGCTCTAGCATTATAGTTTAACAATTTTTCTTGGCTAACCTACCTCATCAATCTTACAACAATAATATGTTAATAATTTATTAGTCATTTTTAAAAGATTTTAAGATTTACTTCGACTAAAAATATAAAATGATACATTAATATTTATAAATTATTCAGATTCGATTTAATTATAACTCAAATTCGATTCAATATAATTTATTAATCAAATCGAATTCGAACATATTAATATTCGACTCAAATAATTTATAAATTTAATCAAATTTTTTTATTACATATTTTTTTATTATTTTATTTATAAAATTATTATTTTACCTATAATCTAAAAAATTTTAAAATTTTATTTTCTTCTTTCCATCTTTATCTCTGTCTCTCTCATCTCTCACCAAAAAACACTTGCGGCGGCCCCCGCATCTGCTAAATATTTGGTCAAACTTTCGTGCTTGGTGGATATTCTGGAGAAGAAGCGAACAAAGGTACGCTCGCTTGCTGTCTTGTTCTCTGCCGCGAACTGGGATCGCTCGCCAGCTAGGTCAGATTGGAACAACATTTTTTGAGAACATATTACCCATCTTCGGGGACAGGGGGCGGAACGACCTCTCGATCTACTTACTGCAGCCCAGGAATAAAAACGTCGTCTAGGCGTAGGCCGTTGTCTGGGCCAAGAGCCATAGTTAGTTGCTGTTTCCATTTGGTTGTTTTTTTCTCGTTGTTGATACCGGCAAGACCCAGCCAGATGATGTCTGCTGGTTGGTAGTGAGAGGACTCTTAGTATCTGCATACCCAAAAGGTGGCGCTGATTTCAAAACAATCATTTTCTTTTTCTTTTGACTCATATTTGCTGTAAATTGATTGCTTGGAATGCTATCACCAACAACTAAAGCTGCATTATAGGAGCTATCATTTTCTCATGCACAAATTGGTAAACGAGACTTTGTTATGGCATTAGTTGGTTGGATTAAGCTCTGCTGCACATTCCATAATATGTAGCAGACGTGAGACAATTCATATTCAAATCAATTCGAAATAAACTTACATAAGTTTTAAAAGGAACTTGTAAAATTAAAATTTTTATTTTTATATATTAATCGAACCTAATCGAACGAATTCGAGTATTTCGATTTCGATCACGAATCAAATTTGAATAAAAAAAATAAAACTCGATCGAATTCGAATTGAGTATCAAGTTACGAGTTGAGAGTTGAATTCGAATTCAAATTTTTTACTGTATCAGTTCAATTCGACTCAATTATATCTCTAATTTCAGCTATAGATAGAGAATCCAAAAAACAAATTCGGATCAATGATAGAATGCAATATAAGTAGTGAATAGAAGAATAAAACAAAATGAGCTTGCTTCCTCTAAATCAAATATAAAACCAGATGTTAATGTGAATTTACACTTCCAAATAGCATTATGATCAAACAAATTTCACTAATTTGAACCAAATGCCAATAAGAGACATAAGAGAGGGTTTCTTATGGATAAGGAGACATGGCATGGATTTTGAACCTTTATAAGAACAAATATCACATGGAAAGAAATTTTAAAACAAACTAATAAAGCATAACGACCATCACAGCATCATATACATTTTAAATAGAGTTGTGTTCAATGCTTAATCATGCCTTGTTTTAACGATATTGAAGTTAGTCTGCATTTATTATTGTTTAACTACTATTAACACTTAATAATTTTGATTCTCATACCCCGTTTCCCATTACCTAATACCACAAAAGTTTGAAAAGCAATCAGATAAAGAAAAGCATAAAGCTGTGGACTAGCACCCTTTTAAACACAAGCAGGAAGTCAAATAGGTTACTTTAATTGAGAAGTAAATCACCATGTAAAAGGTAAAAGGCCCTTATTTGAGCAATTGCTCTTAAGCTTTTAGATGATCAAACTTTTTAATAAAAATCTACTATATATTTTAATACTTAAGAGGCAAGAGAATGAATAATTGAGAAAATCATACTGAGAGAAAAAAGGTGAGAGACTGAAGGATCGAGAAAATGCCTGAGGTGAACAACAAGCTGAAACCTAGAGTGAGGAGTTACTGTTTCGAAGGCTTAGAAAAAGAAAGGGTCACCACTAGATGAGAGTAGAGATGAAAGAGTTGCTTCTAGAGCCATGATGGAAGAAAATGTTAGCGACAGAAAGTGGATATGAAAGGAAAGAGGTGCCGTTGGTTTGCTGGGAGAGTGAGTGAGTAAATAGATTTTGAGTTAGCGTTTTTTAGATTAGGTTACTTATGTATATATAGAATGGGTAAAATAATAATTTTGTAATAAAATAATAAAATATGTATATTAAAATAAATTTACGAATATTTAGATAATTAAATATTTAAATATGAATTTATTCGATAAATTAAACTATTTAAATTTAAATTATATTTAAATCAAACTCAAATATTTTATAAATAAATATGTATCAATTTACACTTATACCCATATATAATGGCTCTTATCTTCTCCAACCTCACAAAAACCTTTTTTTAATGTTAAGACTTCGAACCGTCCAAATAAGGGGGTTCGTTTCTTTTTCTTAATTGCGTGTCAATAAGGGAAAGCATTATGGACAACTTACAACTGGCACATATATCTATTTATTTAATCAAAAACAAAACCTTTAAAACTTTAGTTTCTGGATATAAAAATGGAAAGATAGAAAATTGGAAAGAAATTGAAAAGAAAATTGAAAAAAATTGAAAAAAATGAAAAACATGTGTTTGTTGCTTAAAAAAAATAAAAAGTTGAAAAATGCTATTCGTTGCTTAGTAAAGAAAAAATAAAAGTAAAAAAATTTTTTTTTTCTTTTCCTACCAATCACACCTAAAAGTCATTTTCTTTTCACTTTCTACCTTTTCCTATCCATGATTTCACTTCTTCACTCTGGCAAGCATACTAATATAGGCCCAATAAGAATTCAAGACCCAATTCCAATATTTGCTTATGTTTTATTAATCATTAAATTAGTTAATTGTTGTTTAAATGTTTAATTAGCAGAGTTAGTAATGGATGAGCAGAAACAAATATATATAAAGACAAATGAGCATTGTATGAAAGAAGGAATACCATAACAAAAAAATTACTCTCTTGGTTATAGCTATTCTTGCTATTTGTGTTTCTTCTTTTACTCTTAGAACACTATCAATTCTTCTTGACTATTCTTTGTTTTCTGCATAATTAAGCTTGACAACAATCTTATCTTTTGGGTTGTATCACACACTCTAATAGTTTATTAACCTATACACAATAGAGAAAGACTTAAATGAAATTATTTAGATTAAGTTCATGTAGTTTTCTATTAAAAATGATTAAATAAAAATTAAAATTAAAAATCAAAACCAATATACTAAAAGATGTTGTTATATATATCAAGCATGTAAATTTTGAAAAAAATAATAAATAAATTTTATATATGTTTTATAGAAGCATTTTTTTTTCATAAAAATTTTAATAAAATTTTTGTTATTGAATAAGTACTTAAATTATAAATAATTATTATGCACAATATATGCACGTCAATACTAAGTCCAGACCATCCAAGTAAGATTATTTATTTTCTTTCCTATTTAGTACTTATATGTTATGCAAGGTTAGCATTTCACTCTCATCCACGTTATTGCTAAAAAAGACAAAAAAATTATTCAAAACAAAACGAATTTTTTCATTATCTACCAAGAGCAACAATCTAATGGTTTTTTTAAACTATGCACAATTTGCGCACGTAAAGACTCCGTTGACCTCGAAACTGTCCAAGTGAGAATTTCATTTATGCCATGTTTTATTGACTAATTTCATATCATAGATAAAAAAAAAGAAGTTAAATTCAAAATCAATTCCATGAAATGAAAGAATTAAAAAATCGTAAGATTTACCTTTCAATTATTTTAGATTGATTGAAATCAACGCAAATAAAATAAATCAAGTGAAGAAATAAAATTAAGATATTATATACATTACATATATTTCATTACATATATTTAATTGATATCGACATATATGAAGATACATATTGAAGATTCATCTATATTAAACTTGGTTTATTTCTTAGTGTTTACATGTTATGCAAGGTTAACATTCCACTCTCCTTTATATTATTACTAACAAAATGTAAATTTTTTTTCTAAATTTAAACGATTCTTTTTATTTTCTAATTATAGTAACACTTTTTTTAAACAAAAATTTTAACTCATTCACGCTTTTTTTTTTTCTTTGTGCATAGATTCCTTCTGGTAGTTTATATCCAAAAAGCTTTAAATTAAAAATTTTACTGATTTTTGAACATTTGAAAAAAAAAAAAAAAACTATGTGTGGAATATGATATTTTAAAAAGAGTTGGGGGCGTTGTTGATATTTCCTAAAACATGAAAACCCGATTACAAATTCCAAATTCCTAAGTTAAAACTTTAATGCTCTCTATTTCCTAAACAAAAAACCAGGAGGCCACTCAAAGCTCAACTCAGCAATGCTTCCGTCTAACAACCAGGTGAGGTTCACTCTCTCTCGATTCTTTCTCAATTACTCAACACTCTGTTTGATCACCGAGAAAATGTCGCAAAAGGGAAGAAAGAAAATAAAAAATTTTTATTTCTTTTTTGTAATTTCATGCACAAGTTCTGGCATTTACTTCTTTAAAACGCAAAGTTCTTTTGTTTGTTCCCTTTTTCCGATGTTTTGTCTTGGATCGATCGGCCGTTTAATGGTCAATGTCTGTCATGCATGCATGTGTTTCCCTTGTTTATACTTACTGCTTCAATTTCAGAGTCAGGAACTTCAAAAAGTAAAAAGGAAAAAAGATTGCAGCTTTTATTTTTTTTCAAATGACAATCTGGAAAAGATTTCATACGTTTCCTGGCAGCATATTTTCTTTTATCGGGAAGATTTTTCATGAATTAGGTTAATAGTATTTATTCTTGAAATTTTAAGTTGGAGTACCCTTTTGCTTTCACTTGGACGCTGTTTAAATTCTCATGATAGCGTTATTATTTTGTTCTTTTTTCACTGAGAAAATTTTTGGGATACAAGACAACTCATAATTAGCTAGTGCATTGCAATATATTTTCATGTTGAAGTGAAAGATTTTTGAGTTTAGGTTTTTTTTTATCTTTTTAAATGTGGAAGCCTAATTTGTTTTTGAGTTTCTTGTGCTGATGTTGTCAACAAGATAGACTCAGATCTAAGCTAATTACCCTCAGTCTTTGCAGTTTTCAAGTCAACCGAGGCCGTCAGCTCTTGTTGATTCCACTACTTCAATGCAAGTGGATAAGAACGAAGCCTCTTTCGTTGCCAGGGATGAAATGCAAAATGGAGAATTTTCACAAGCCAAATCCATCATTGAGAGTTCTAAGGTTGTTTTGGTTTTGAACTTTCTTTTACAGTGTTTCAGTAGAGAGTAAAAGAATGGTAATCTATTCTTGTTTGGTTCATTTGGACATTAGAAGTCATAAAAGGATATGAACATTCTTTCTTTTCTTTTTTTTTTTAATTTTTAATTTTTTGTGTTTGTGCCTCTTTTTTTTTAAGGTAAATTTTGATATAACGTGCTCTATATAGAAACTTCAAGATGATCTTCGCATGTTGGGAATGAAAATCAAGCAGCACGAGGATAGCATAAAACTTCTAAAGACTCAGAAGAACAAACTAGATGACTCTATACTTGATATGCAAGGTATACTTCTATTATTCTGAATGCATGCATGGCATAAACTCCATTTTGCAATTCTGGAAAGGAACTAAAGATGCTGAAAATATTTGGGCAGGCTGCTACCAATGATGATCGGAATGAGTTAATGTACTGTTTGTTAAGACAAGAAATTAATACACTTTTGTTAGATTTTGTTTATCAGGGGTTTACATCCAGCTACACTGTGACATACTATTTCACTTGTGTTTAATTGCCTAGATCCGACTCTTCATACTTTCCACCCATAAGTCCATGTAATTAATATTGCTCTAATTTGGATGTTAGTCATAAGGTTTAAGAGATGTTATTAACTCAGCATTAGGTGCAAATAAGGTAGCCAGCTAGTATTAGTTATTTTTGAATGGGATGATTTTGAGTTATTGACCTGTGTTACATGGACTCAGCATCCTAGTGTTCCATACCTGTGTCATTACATCACGATATGGATTTGGGTGTGGAATACGCACATGATATGGCACTGGTTATTCAGACTTGGCTCTTTCAAGTTAGCAGCAAATAAAAAAAAAAAATCACAAATTGACCAAAGAAAAGATAACCAGATGGCATCATGAAAGAAAGTATGAGAGGGAGTATAAGAGTAAGCATTCTGGCAAATATAGAGAAAAAGAGGATCAAGAAAATGAGGGAAAAAAAAAACGAAAAAGGAAATGAAATTGTTACGGAGAAGAGAAGGTTTTTTTTTTTTTGGGTAAATGAAGAGAAGGAAGATTAAGAGACAATAAGAAGATTCTAGATAGACATATGACAGATAAGTGCTAGTGGTTGGGTTTTCTGTTAAAATGGAAAAAACACAATTCAAGGCAATAGCATTGTTATTGTGTCGTCGTAAACCCAATTAAAAAGGGAAAGAAAAGAAGAATTATGAGCTTAAGGTTGTTTGGGCAAGATAGGATAATTTCTTTTTTTTTTTTTTTGTAGCTTTTTTCATACTAGGCCCTTATAACAAGGTTTTGTTCGAGTGAAATGGATTTTTCAAAATTTCTAAGTTATACAAGTAGTATTATTATATTCCATAAAAACTTTTAGAAGGATCCTTGTATCTGTATATTATTTTTGGACACTTTTTAGCCAAATCTATGAGTCAAATATTTAAAAAAAAAGACTAGTCTGACACATGGAAAGATACCCGTATCAGATACTCATACCTGAGTCCATGTAACATAAATATTGACTCTTGGTAACCATATGTTGTTGCATATTTATTTTCCGTATCTCTGGTTACCAATTGATCTTTTCTCAGTCATGCTTGGCAAGTATCACTCTTCTAGTGCACCTAAGACTGAAAACAAGGACCAGTTGCACCTTCAAAGTGAGGAGGAAACAACTGAACAGATTCTTCGGCATGAAAAGTCAGCAGCAGGAATTCTGTGTCAGCTGAAAACTCGTCATGGCACTCAGGCTTCCCATCTGACTTTGACAAAGGATGTACTTGGTCCTGTTGCTGCACTTGGCAAAGTAGATGATGAAAATCTTAGTAGGTATGTTTGAATTGTATTTATTATTTTCTTTATCTTTCCGCATCATGCCTAGCAACATTTAATTTATTATCCATCTATTGTTTGGAATATCTTGGATGTTTTGCATGAGAAAGCTATACCTTTATCCTTCCCCTGCTATGGATAGGCCATGCATAGGGGCCTTATGTACAAGTGGGTTAGTGTCACCATGTCTTGTGTTTTTGAATAGTGATGCATGAGTGCATGGGCTTCATCATAACATATGGAATTTCAAGTGAATAGCCTGCATGTTTATTAAATAAATTACCAATTGGGCATCTTGATTGAGGGATTTATGACAACTGTTAATGCTTCTATGTAATTGATGTGTGGCTTTACATTTCTTTATTTAAATGTAGGCTTTTCTCGGAGTACCTGGGAGTGCAGACTATGTTGGCAATTGTTTGTAAAACTTATGAAGGTATTAAAGCTTTGGAAACATACAACCAGGATGGCTGCATTGATAAAACTTCTGGTCTGCACGGGCTTGGTGCTTCCGTTGGACGGTCTTTAGATGGCCGATATCTTGTAATTTGTCTTGAAAGTTTAAGGTATCAATCTCTTATATTTGTTTCTGATTACAATCTGGTTTACTAAAGACATAGTAAAAATCTTTTTCTTTTCCTTTCTGCCCTTTTCCCTGCAGACCTTATGCTGGTGATTTTGTAGCTGATGACCCCCAGAGGAGGCTTGATCTTTTAATGCCAAGATTACCAAATGGGGAATGTCCTCCAGGCTTTCTTGGCTTTGCAGTGAATATGATACATGTGGACAGCTCAAACTTATTTTATGATACTGCCAGTGGGGATGGCCTCAGAGAGACTTTATTTTACAATCTGTTCTCCCGCCTTCAAGTGTACAGAACAAGGGCAGAGATGGTTCTTGCTCTCCCTTGTATAAGTGAAGGAGCAGTCTCTCTGGACGGTGGGATGATCAGAAGCCCTGGTGTGTTTTCCCTAGGCAGTCGGTAAGAAGCTCTGTCTGGCAAGAGCTAGATTTCATTTTTGAAAGAATAAATTATACAGATAACTTCTTTTATACTTTTCTCTGTTAAACTTTATCAATTTGGCAATAAATTAACAGTTAGCTTGTGATGCATATGTCTTTGGATGTAAGGAGGTTGTCGAAATTCATAATGCATTAATAATACTATTCTATTTATGGTAATATGAAATTACTTATTCTAAGACAGAATACATATTTTCCATCTCTCAAATATGTTTTCAAACAAAGTTGAACCTTAGAAAAATTGTGAACCATTTTACTTGCAGCACATAAGGGCATTTGACTTGTTTAGAAAAATGATCTTGGTATTGTTATTCACCAATTAAAATTTTATGTTAGATTAACTTTTTATTGATTAATAATAATAGGGATTAGTTTGCTGTTGCATCTTTGTTCTCACTCTGTCTGATTCTAGGGAAGAGGTAGATGTGAGATTCCTGAAACCCTCTGCAACATCAGACGTGCCGCAAAATTACATTGAAACTGAGAAGCAGATGAAAGAGATGAGATGGGAAAAAGAGAAGTTGGTAGAGGATATGAAGAGGGAACTTGCATTGCTGAATAGTGTGAAGTTCAATTTTGAAAGCAAGAAGCAAGACTTTGTCAAGTTTCTTGCTCAAAGCTCATCGTATGCAACTCAGGTAATCTGAATCCTACTTTGAACTGAAATGAGATTCTCCCTTTCATTTCTTTTCTTTCTTTGCAAATTGCAGTATCCCTTCAAGTTTTCTTAAACATAACATCACTTTTATGGCAGCATCAGTTTCAGGCGGCAAGAGATAGGTCAACTCCAAGATGACGACAACAACTTGGTCTAGCTAGCAGATTGAAAAGAGTGCAAAAGCCTTAAACACAAAATTTCAGCTGCTGCCACCATGGTAAATTTTTTTTGCCTTGTGGCGGACACAGAATAATTGGAGGAAAGGCAAAAGCAAATGTTCTTTTTTGAGACTTTTTTTTTCCTTGATAAGCTTCTGCTTTCACATGTCAAAACTGGGACTAGTTTTTTTCTCAAATGTGGACACAGGCACCATTGTGAACCAGAAATTGACAGACCACGGAAGGCATCCCTTGGTCCTTAATATCGACAAAAGGAAAGTGTAATGAGTGGTTGTTCATTGAAGGCAGGACCTGTATGTTGTAAACTGTTTTAAGAGGATTTTAGCTTTGCTTCATTAATGTCCGAAGTCCCCAACTTCTGAACTGTGTTTTTTCTGATGATTCATTTTAGTCATCTGTACAGTGTACATCACATTAATCTTTAAATGCTGTACAATTTTCTGGTCCTCGTGCATCTGCCATGAAGAGCGTAAAATTTTTAGTGCATAAAAAGAAAAAAAAAATGGTAGGATCAATTAGGTTTTGGCCCTTTGGCCCATTCTGTTCTGAACAGCTTATGTAGCCGAAGTCCAGTGGCAAAAATGAGTTGGGCCTACAATGCCCAATCCCTGTCCCTGGTTTTAATGGAACGAATTTTCTGGTTGCAGCAAAAACCCTAATTTCCTCAGTCTTAGTAGAGGGCTTCAGTTGAAAAAAGCGTTTCGTTTTCTCATCCATCGGATTGATCTTGTGTAAGTCATAATCTCAAACTTCAAATTTTGTTTTCTTTTATATCAACCAATTTTATCAAACACATTTTAAGAAATCAAATTTCGTCGATCTCAGGATCCCACCAAAAAAGGAGTTATTTTTAATGGCCGGAAAAGCAGCGCAATCTTTGGGGAAGGCAGTGGGGGAATACCAATACCCATGGCGTGAAAAATTGGCCAAATACAAAGTAGAGTTATCAAAGGGAGTGTGGGGGTATTGGGAACTCGGAGCCTGGAAGCCTCTGGGCATCAGCGCTCGCCGTCGAGCCAGGCTCCGCAAGGAAGTGCTTTTAGCAGGGCAAGATTGGCCGTACGATCCAGAGAGGAAAGAAATGAGAACTAAGATGAAAGGTCACAAGTGTGACAGAGTTGCCGCTGAGAAAAGGGAGAATACTGCTAATTTGATGCAGAAAATGCCTGAGATGTTGCTTGCTTATAAGAAACGTAGGTGGGAGAAGAAAATGAAGGAAGAGGAGAAATTGAAAGAAAAATAAATCTCAAAATATTTACATATTTTCTTCCTTTGTTTTTTCTTTTTGGGTCAAAATAAGAAAAGATTTTGGGTTTGGAATTTGCAAATGCCAAATCTTGTACCGATGAACTCAATGTTGGGAATCTGCTTAGATTATGTATTGTCTGAATTTTTATACAGATCTTTTTAGCCTGTTTGTCTTGGTAGTTATTCATTTCATACAACGCACTGTACTTCTTTTCCCAGAAGAATGCATCGACAACCAACAAGTTCAAAGCTCTTTGTGCAAAGCTATGTCCAAAGATATTGATGAACTTGATGACATATATCCCAATCCTTTGTAAATCATTATTGAATCCTAATTTGGAACAAAATTCTAATCCCAAGTAGTAGAAAACAGGAACGAGCAAAAGAGATAGTCGTAGGTTCCACCGAGATTTGAACTCGGGTTACTGGATTCAGAGTCCAATGTCCTAACCGCTAGACCATGGAACCTGTTGGCTACTAAAATTTTATCATTATATTAAATGGCCAACAAAATCTAATGGGTAACCATATCTACTTACCAGCAAGCACTTACCAAGACTTCTGGGTTAGTAATGTTTATATTGGCTGTTTTCAGATTTGTTTTAGATTTGAATGCCTTTTGAGTACTTTCTCTGTGCTCCTGTCTGTCTGTCTTGCATGCTTGCATATACCTGTACATATTTTGATGTCACCAGCTACTTTAGATGTGGCACTGGCACCTTAGTCATTCTGCACAACTTAATACGCAACTTCTTTTTTGTCTGTTCTTGATGCTGCAGGAGACATGCATGTAATGCAATTTGGTGTGATTGTGTGAGAACTGAGAAGGTTTCTTGAACATTATTACCATCTATTTTTGCAGTCTTCCATCTTTTTCATCCTTTTTCTTTGCTGTTGTCTGCAATTTTATCTTTGGTTAGTGTGTCAACGTCATATTAAGACAAGAAAATCATTGACTTCTTTCAATCTATTTCTTCCTTTACTTCAACCTTTTCTGGCTACTATCTTAAAAATCATGTCAAAATATATAGATCCTAGCATCAGAGTCCCCTTGTCTGTAAGCTTGGACCAAAATGTAAGGTTGCCAAATCCGATTATGATTCAAAATATCGGAAGATATCCCCAGAAAGAGTTTTGTCCATTCATTAATAAATGCAAAACGAAGCTTAAGAAGCCATTTACAAAGCAATATTCAAACTAATTCTTATAAGACTTTAAATAATTTGCCCATTTTTGTCAGATTGCAGCATTGGTCAAGGTTATCTCAAGCCAAGCCTATAATAAAACTTCTTTACCAAAATTATAGGATTAAATGTTATCTTCAACAAAAGACAAATGTTGTTTTTCATTTTTATTTCTAAGATGTCGTCGTTTTCCAACTTCAGATTACCCTTTTTACCCCCAATGTCAAGAAATGTATCTCCAAACTAGTCTGTCCTCTTCTGTAATTAGATATTTTATGATTTTTTTTTTCATCTTCTATCCTTTAAAACATGTCCGTTCTTCACTTCTTCATTGCATCTTTCCCAATTTATCTCCTTCTACCAAAAAATTCCCTCTCATGTGCATGATAATCCCAAAATCCAAGAAAAACCAAATTCAATTCAACCCATAAATCCTCAAACCCCTTTAAAAAGATTCTGTCTTGAAGAACCCTTCTTATGAACCCTTAAAATCAACCATCTTTTTTACCCCAAATTTCCATTGAATTGCTTGTCTTTCTTCTTCCCATGGCTGCAGCTGCTGCACTCAGATCCAAACGTTACGTCGAAACAGCATCTTTAACGGTCTCTCAATTCAGGCACTTTCTATCCAATTACATGCACTGTGGTCGCATGGCTAGCTCCTTTCACTATACCACCAACCGTACCAAATGGGAGGACCACTTTGTCAACACTCCTTATTACTTCACTTCTTTCAAGCCCCTCTCGCTTCGCGGCGAACTCGTTGAAAAGGGTTCCCAATTTTTGGATATTAGGAGGAATTCCCACGGTTTAAATAAGGATTTCGATGTAGAATTGAGAGAGAAATTGAGTTATGCTAATTATACGGTGTTGAGTTCTTATGGGGACCCACCGGAGGTTTGGCAGCCACCTGGGGATGGGGTTGCGATTCGGGTTAGTGGGGTGAATGTGGGCCGCGGTGCTGGTGGAGGTGGAGGTGGAGGTGGAGGAGGAGGGGCAACTCCGGGCTCTGGAGGCGGGTTTGGGCTGGGTTCAAAGGATGGTTGTTGGGGGGGATCTAATTTGGGGCATAATTTTCCCACACCCAAAGAGATTTGTAAAGGATTGGACAGGTTTGTGATTGGGCAGGAGAGGGCAAAAAAGGTGTTGGTTATCATTGTTTTATTTATTTATTTATGAATTATTATTATACGCCATTTCAACTGAAAATGGCCATTAGTTTGGGCTATTGAAAGTAATTAAAGTATTTAGAAATTACAAACTGCTTTGATTGCTAATACACCATACCACTTGTGGGGTGTGTTTTCATTAATGAGGCGGTAAAAATTGAATAATAACAGTTCTTGAAGTTACATAGGATGTAAACATCCTTCTACATTTTGTTTTCTGGTCTAATGTTATACCATGAATGCAGGTTCTATCAGTGGCAGTTTACAACCACTATATGAGAATCTACCATGAGTCATTACAGAAACGGTTAGTTTAGTACCTACAAGATATGCAGTTGTTGTTTAATTTGTTTCCTTCTTTTCATTGCTAAACTTATAAATTTGTAATGATATAGATGGTAGAAGTAGTTAATTGTTAGACACAAATTTGTAATGATATAGATGGTTGAGGTAGTTAATTGTCAGACACGCAGCTTTGCATATGTCTAAAAAACATTAAATTTCACATAATAAGATGAAATATTTAGAATGTTTGAAATATTTAGATAAAAAAAAAAAAAAAAGAAGAAGAAAAGAAAAGGAAAGGAAAATGTCAAAGCAATAGACATAAACTTTTAGCATATTGAAGATCCTTAGATATGGTCTATTCTTGTTAGTTGTGACTGCCAGTTGTAATACCAGTATTTTTTTAGTGAATTTGAGCATGGCAAGGATATCTTTGAATTACAACTTCAGCTTTCGAAAGGTAGTAGCTGTCTTTTCTTGTAGCGTGCAGATGTACGTGTGTCTCTGTCTTTGCATGTGCTGCTGTGTTACTTTGTTTTTTAAGGGGAATATCTGTTGTTAACATGTTTCTTTGGTAAGCTAGGCCTGCAGGAGATTCAGGTAGCAATATAGCAGATGTACTAGATGATGATACGGTGGAACTGGAGAAAAGTAACATTCTTTTAATGGGGCCAACAGGCTCAGGTAATTTTTCATCGTACTTGGTGCGAAAACTCAGCATTCTACTTCTATATTTCTGCTTTGTGATTGTTAACTATTTCTCCTAGGTTCATTTCAAGATAGATTTTCTTTGATTGAGTTGCAGTTTTCTTAATGTATCACTATGTCTTCCTCTTCGTTTTAATTAATCATTTAAATCAAGATATGAGGATTCATTGACCTCCACTTTTGCTCGTTATTTTTAAGTTGTTATCTTTTTCTTGTTTTCCAGCCAATTCTAGATTATCTTTGGTAGTTTCAATTTTTACCTGAATATAATTTTCTCTATTTTCTGTTACTAGTCTCACTTGTTCCCTTTTGACATCGTTTCAAGGACAGGGAAAACATTACTTGCCAAAACCTTGGCTCGCTTTGTGAATGTTCCTTTCGTTATTGCAGATGCAACTACCTTGACTCAGGCAAGCCACTTACTCTTGATTGTTGTGTTTATATGTCTTTGCTAATTTCCTTCTTAAATGAATTTATTTCCTCTTCTGGTGCTTTTCATTTTCATTTAATTAGCTCTGCAATAAACAACTTAGTCCTGTTTAATTAAGTGTAATAACCTTAATAGGTCATGGAATTTGTTTTGTTTTCAATTTTTCTGATGTGATTCTACAAGTGTTTATAGAGCATCATTTTATTAAACTTAGTTAAAAAAGATGATCAAATTGCTCAATGGAGCATATAGAGTTTCCCTTCAATTGCATTGTCTTCCCCCACCCCAGCCTAAGGGTCTTTGTGGAGTACTTTTTAATATCAGAGTTTGATGCTCTGTTAATGTTCCCCCTCCAGGGGTATCTCTTTGCTAGACATCAGCTATTGACAATGATAATAAATTGAATTTCTTTGGCATTTTCTATTTGATGAAATTAAGAGTGAATATATGTTTTTATATAATTCATTGTTGTTATTCTTCATTTGTTTTATAAAACATTTCATCATTGATTATGCCTCTTCGTTTGAAATTTGGTTATTTACATACATTTTGCTCGGAACTCAGTTGTGTCCTTCATATGCTATGTGCAGGCAGGGTATGTTGGTGAAGATGTTGAATCTATATTATACAAGCTCCTCGTGGTAAATTCAAGAGCCTTTTGTACTCTGCATGAATTAAAAGTTCTCAATTGCAACTCTTTGTTCATTTCACAATACTTTTTAATGGCATGCATTTCCTATCTCTACCGAAGTTAGCTTTATTATTTATGGAAGAATATAAACTTTGAATTGGATAGGTCTTCATATGATAAACTTTCAAGTAGCATTAGTAAAAGTGAAAAATTTTATTGGCATATCAAAGTCAATTGCTGTTAGGCCAGCATAATGTAAATGGGACTTCTTTTATCTCATGAGAAATTTTTTGGGGTTGTACTCTTATGTCTGTTGTTGATTAATAACCCCTTTATGAATTTTCTTTTGTACACCTTTTCAGGTTGCTGACTATAATGTTGCAGCTGCACAGCAGGGCATTGTTTACATTGACGAAGTTGATAAGATTACCAAAAAGGTTCCTTTCCTTCTTCTTTGCAAAATTCTGTTTATTTTTTATTGCTTTTTATTCATCTCTTCTTGCTATGCAGGCTGAGAGCCTTAACATTAGCAGGGATGTGTCTGGGGAGGGTGTTCAGCAGGCATTACTAAAGATGCTAGAGGGAACAGTAAGTGCATGGTTCCTAACTGTGGAAATGTTATATTGTAAATGAGAATTAGAAGCTTGGCACCAGATATTAGGATTATTGTCTCTGGTTATGGATCAAACTCCAGATCAGATGAAATTGCAAATCGTATTCATAAGCTGACTATTCACTAATTGTAATTAGTATTTAGTCAGGTTGATTTAATTAAGTGATTCACTATCCTGATCCATGGAGCATTTTTTGATGATCCAGATTGTTAATGTTCCTGAGAAGGGAGCTAGAAAGCATCCTAGAGGTGAAAATATTCAGGTATACACAGTCTGAGTTGTAACATTGTTTATTGGGTGTTTACCTAGTTACATTATTTACTATGTCAAGCAGATGGATAAATATGTTGCTGTGCATTTTTTTCAAGATTTGATCAGGACTTCATCATAGCAAAATTTTTATGGCTCTGACTTTGCTGGGTTTTGCATTTTTGTGCTCATTTCCCCCTCTATTGGGGACCACTTTGTTATTGTTGATTTTCTTTTTGTACTTTTTTCGCAGATTGACACAAAGGAGATACTCTTCATATGCGGGGGTGCCTTTATTGACATAGAGAAAACAATCTCAGAAAGGTTATACCAACATAGAAATTACACTATTTGTGTCCAATACTTTTTAACATACAGCTAGTTTTTTACCCAACGTCAATTTAAACTTTCTTGAATGCATTTCAGACGTCAAGATTCTTCTATTGGTTTTGGAGCCCCAGTGCGTGCAAACATGAGAGCAGGTGGTGTTACAAATGCTTCTGTGGCATCATCTTTAATGGAGACTGTAAGTGCTCTATAGCATTCAAGATGATTAATTCTTAAATAGCTTAGACATAAAAGCTTAGATACTCACATTCTATATGAACCACTTGTGTTTGGCAGGTTGAAAGTAGTGATCTCATTGCATATGGTTTGATACCAGAATTTGTTGGACGATTCCCGGTTCTTGTCAGCTTATTGGCTCTAACTGAAGAACAACTTATTCAGGTGAATGTTTTACTTTGTTTCTTGCTGTCTAGTCTGCAAACTATTTTTTTCTAATAATATTTTACTAGGTTATTATGGGATGGTGAAGAATGGCAGGAAGTGATTGTTGACAGTATTGCAGTCACAGTTTTGAATTCTTTTATTAGGTTTCATGAATGAAAAGTGTACTTGTCTTACCTTATCTTTTATCTCTACAAATGATCTTAAAAAAATTTAATGGAAAATTAATAGTCTATGCAATTTATCCACTTAATTATGGTCTTTGAAGTTTCCTTTCTTGCACAAGTGATATGATTGTTTAATTCAGCATCATATGTGACTATTACTGGCACCAATACTTTTTTAGGTCCTAACAGAGCCAAAAAATGCCCTAGGCAAGCAGTACAAAAAGATGTTCCAAATGAATGGCGTAAGTTCTTTATATGTCCCTACTTTGAAATGCTAATTCCATTTGTATTCAGTACATTTAATTTGCCTGCAGTTATGTGCAGCAATTGATTTCACTTTGATCTTCTTTCCTTCAGGTCAAACTGCATATCACAGAAAATGCTTTGAAATTAATTGCCAGAAAAGCAATATCTAAAAATACAGGGGCCCGGGGCTTAAGATCCATCTTGGAGAGTATCTTGATGGATGCCATGTATGAGGTATGCTGTGTTGTGCTACTCTGATTTTTGTCACCAGCTATTAAGACCATAGATTGCCGGTATTCCATCTGGAAACCAATTTTAGTGGATTTGGTAATTAAGTGAAAAAAGTTATTCAAAGTTGATTTATGCTTGATATGGCCTGTTTATTACATGACTATGCGCTATTCCACAATTTCTGAATGCATAAATCCGTTGCTTTCCCCAAGGTATGTCACAGATTAAACATTAGGAAATTTTGGTGGCTATCAAAACTGTGGCCATGATTGGAATTATATTCTAAATTTCCCTGATTAGAACTGAGATTGCCTTTCTTAATCGGACTTCTCTGTATCTCTCGCCACAGACCCTACCATCTAGAGAAATGTGCTATGTATGGTTAGAACTATCTTATTTGGCATTTATTTGGCTCCCGTTGGCCTTATATGAACTTGAGCACTACTATGACAAGTGCTCTGACTGTAAGGACCATTTCCAGTTCATCCCTCTATGGGCCCCACTCTGGTGGGACCATAACTGTTTAATGTGACCTTTGTCTCTCTCCAATCCAGCTCCTACCCCCTTCTGAATTTCTTTGCCATCTAAAACCCAGTGGCATGTTTTACTGAGCTCGATGCTTTCACGAGCATATGCATTTGGAGATCTTGTGAAATGCAGCAGAAAGTTTCACTAAACTATCGGTTTGTGGGGTTAAACAAACGTGAACCTTTGACTAGATTGAATTTAGAACAAGATATCATTGAGTTAGATTGAATTTCTATTCCTTTCGGTCACTCTTAAGTTACTTGTTTTAACGAATTGCTTTTAGATGCCATGCAACTTTAATTTCATGGATTTTCTTTAATCTCTGCTTGCAGATACCAGATGTTCGGACTGGTGATGATGTAATAGATGCAGTAGTAGTTGATGAGGAGGCCGTTGGATCTGAAGGCCATGGAAATGGAGCTAAGATTCTTTATGGTAAAGGTGCATTGGACCGTTACATTTCACAACAAAAATTGAAGGACTTGGAGGTGTGTATGACTTGGCCAATATCATTTACGTGACTTTGCATTTAGATCAGTAGCTAAGCTAATATTCAAAACTATGTGTTGCAGACAACCGTAGAGGGAACCGATGGGGAGCCCGAGGTTGAAACAGAGCTTCCTTCAGTTGTTGCCATCATGTGATCATTGTGATGAACCTGTACAATGTAACTTAATTGTACATAATAGATTATACATACAATTACTACCATTTTACGCAAAACATGCAGTTTTAATTCCACTTAGCTAGTAGCAGCAACCAACCCCAACCCCCCAAATGGATATTTTGATTGATTTCGGTTCATTTATATCAATGATATTAGTGATTGAAAAATTCATTGTTGTATGAGCCGCTACATTTTCAAGTACTAATGGATAATATTAGAATAAAAACATAAAAACATATATTAAAATTTCATTAGATTTGCAAATTACCATGCATCAAGATATTTGAATTCGGTCTGTTTGATGATTTGACAATAATTGAGTTGAGTTTGAATTGTTTATGAATAAGATGTATGGAGTAAATTGTATGTATATATATTAATGGTTTATGTATCATGAAGCTTATCAGTACATATTTATATTAATTGTTGCGAGTGAATGAAATTGGAAGATGCTTTTATATTTGCAGTAATAAAAAGTATGCATATGATTAAATCATGCACGTTGGGCATAGTCTTTGTGTAGACTCTGATTGCACCCTTCACCTTAACCTTCACCAGCTCATAATTTGTCATTAAAGCTTTTTAGAATTAGGCTTTTCAGCACGACTAACAACAACCTCATTATTACTCTCTTTATCAAATGTCTAATTTAAAGTGAGTTTTTATCAGGTAGATTTATGAAATTAAGTTCCTAATTAAGTCAGGATCAAAATCCAAGTTTGATCTTATATACCAATTAATACATCATAATTTAAAATCTATTATTATACAAAATTACAGAGTTTTTTTTAGATTTTGTTCAAATTTATTATTTCTGAATGACTTTCAATGGTATATATTTTTCTTAAAATATCTTACAAATCAAATACTAATTAAAAAGTCTCTTTATGAATTAAATTAATTTGTGTGAACATTTTTTTATAATTATTACTTTATCCGCTTTTCTTTTAAAAATGGTGAAAAAAAAAATCAGTTGCAACTGTTATTAGCAGTTACCATACGCATTGTAAGATTCTATGGTACATAAGAAAATCGATAGATTCTTCTTTCTTAATAGCTGCAAAGACCAAAGTGTCAAAGCATAACAAATTAATAATTACGTTTGTCTGAAAATGAAGACTTGTTGCTTTGTTTCCATTACTTCAATTCAAACATCCTTAAACACTGTTTTTTAACCCCAAAACAAAAATCCAAAATCTTTGTTGTGTCTGTGTCTGTCTGTCTTACCCTTGTTTTTCCTTTTTAGTTATTTTTTCTCTATAATTGCCCTATCCCAATAAGAACCGTTTGATTTTTCTCCATCCACCGTTGGAACTTTTTAATTTCAACGATCACCCCCTTCTCCTCCTCTCTCTCTGTGCACCGAAATATTGGAACAGAGAGAAAGTAGTAAAAAAATAAATAAAGAAAGAAAAAAGAAAGGCCTTACCCACAAAACAAAAAACAAGAAACTAAAAAAAAAAAAAAAAAAAAGGGACAGCCAAGGAGGAAAATAACCTCTTTTTAAGAAGAGAGAAAAAGAGGGGCTGTTTGGTTCTTTGGAATCCATTTTTTCTCTTACAAATTTCTTCTCTCATCATCTTTTCTCTTTCTCTTCTTCTTCCTGTAATCTGTAATTCAAGAAAAAAAAGTAAGAGAAAAAGGAAAAGAAAGAGAAAATTTTGAGAGAAGAAGAGGAAGAAGAAGAGAATCAGAAAAAGAATTTAAAAGAAAATTTGGGGTGGGGGTTTATTTTGTAAATTTCTTTGGAGTTTTGGGTCTGTTTCAAATAAATAATAGAATCTTAGATCTCGGGTGGTGTTGTGTGTGAATGGAGTTGGATAGTATTGAGTGTGTGTCATCCACAGATGGAATGGACGAGGATGAGATCCATCACCATAATCTGCACCATCCACACCCTCACCATGGCCACCATCAATTCTCATCGTCAAAGCCTCACAATGGCACCAACAACACCAACAATGCTAATACCATCAACCATATTGTGGGTCCTACAGCGATCGCTCCAGCTACCAGCGTCCATGAATTGTTAGAATGCCCTGTTTGTACCAATTCTATGTACCCACCAATCCATCAGGTCTGTCTTCAATTTCATTCTACTTTTGTGTACTGTAATTTTGGGGCTTTTGTCCTTTTTGTTGTTTTAAATTTTGCTATTTGTTGTTGATTTGGTTGAATTTGATTGGTCGATGCGTTCGAATAGATTTGCTGTGCATTTGAATGGGATTTCGTTACTTTTTGTTGCTATGAAAGATATTGATTTATGATTGTTTCTTGGTTGGATTTAAGTTTAGGTTTTTTTAAGCCTAGTTATTAATTATATTGATTTGTGATTGTTTTTGTTGTGGTTTCTTTTCAATTTTAACATGAATTATGATTTTTTTTTTTTTTACATATTACTTTAGCAATTCTGTGGTAGCAATTCGAGTTCTTCATTAGTGTTATGAATTTGTTATCAGCATGTTTGTAAAATTGAAATTTGATAACTTTGTGGTGATGCCTAGAAAGGAAAGATGAAGTAGTACTTATGATGCAATAGATATAGATAAAGGATTGTGACTTAGACTGTATTTAGCCATTATTAGATTGATCTGCTGCTAATACAGAGTCACTTTTTAGAAGCTCAAAGTCTTTGGCTTATATTTTTTGTGAGAAAAGCCTGTTAGATTGCATGTTTGAGTTTGATAGAGGTGATTCTTAGATTTTGGAATGCTAATTTCCCTTAAGTACTGCATTGACAGTGTAGTAATCCAATTCCTAATGCACTTGATTCAAGTTTTTGGGGGAAAACTTGGATAGTTTAGTTTTCAGGGAAAAAATTTTGGGATAATTTAAGTTCTTCCCTGAAAACTTCATCAAAATAGATAGCCAGAAACAACTGTAAGTTCCACTCTAAAAAGGTTAGTTGATTACTTTTTCATATTGAGAATCCTTTCGAATTGGAACATTTTCAGATTGACAGAGGATTTTTTCAGATTTGAAAGTGTGCTTGTTAATTGTTATTCTCTAGCAAATAGAGAGATAAGAAATATCGGGATAATTTGAGATGTTCTGTTTTTACTTGCTTTTATATAGGAGAGATGTTGTACTAGACATTGAGATCTCTAAATATTCATTTAGAGGACAAATTGCTGCTCTCTTTAACACTACAGCTTTTTGCAGTGCCACAATGGACATACACTTTGTTCTACATGTAAAACAAGAGTACACAACCGGTGCCCCACTTGTAGACAGGAACTTGGTGATATTAGATGTTTAGCATTGGAGAAGGTGGCAGAGTCCCTTGAATTGCCTTGCAAATACCACAATTTGGGATGCCCAGAAATATTTCCCTATTACAGCAAACTCAAGCATGAGGGAATTTGCAACTACAGACCATACAATTGTCCATATGCTGGTTCAGAGTGTTCTGTTGTTGGGGATATTCCTTTCCTGGTTGCCCATCTGAGGGATGACCACAAGGTGGACATGCACAGTGGCTTCACATTTAACCATCGTTATGTGAAATCCAACCCCCGTGAAGTAGAAAATGCCACTTGGATGCTAACAGTAAGTTTTATAATTTTTTATATAGCATTTACTATTTTCCAAAGCGGCCCACTATGTTTTAAAATGATAATAAGAAGTGCCCTATCGTTCAGCCATGCCATCTTTTGATGAGTTATTTGGGGGATGAATACAATGGGGCAGATTTCAACAAGCTGAAGAAAACTGCATTACTTCTTTCTGCCACAAAAAAGAAAAAAAAAAAAAAAAAAGAAACGAAACATTATTTTTGCCTAGAAATAAAATTCTCTGGTTTGTAATAATCTTCCTAGTATGAGCCTCAATCTGCTGGCTTGTCTGCTCTTTTGTCAGGTATTCCATTGTTTTGGTCAGTATTTCTGCCTTCACTTTGAAGCCTTCCAGCTGGGCGTGGCCCCTGTCTACATGGCATTTCTCCGTTTCATGGGTGATGAGGTGGAGGCTAGGAACTATAGCTACAGCCTTGAGGTTGGTGCAAATGGCCGGAAACTTATATGGGAAGGTACCCCACGAAGCATCCGTGATAGTCACCGGAAAGTCAGGGACAGCCATGATGGTCTAATTATCCAACGTAACATGGCACTTTTCTTCTCTGGTGGGGATAGGAAGGAGCTAAAGCTGAGGGTTACAGGAAGGATATGGAAGGAACAACAAAATCCAGACTCTGGTGTGTGCATACCAAACTTATGTAGTTGAGAGAATTGATTTTTATAACTTTTTTCTTGATTTGTTTTGAACGCTTGCCACTGTGTGTTCTACCTCTGCCAACCCTTTATGGTATGTTGTAATGGATGGAAATTTTTAAAAGGCTTGAGAAGTTTTCAGCTTGTATGAAATGCTTAATAAGCATATTTTCTTCTCTAACCTTCTGTTTGCAAAAATATGACCCTTAACTGATGCTCGAATAGAATATGCATTGTGATGTCACAAAAATGTGCCAGCTTGAGACAAATGTGGCAAGATAAAAGTGATGAGGCCAAACTTTGACTACTATCAAATCCATTTATTGCTGCAAAACCATCGGGTGGTATAAACCATCCTGTCCTTGCCCCTCGTTTACCATTGAAAACATCAAGCCACCTTCTTTGCAGCCCCCAAGTATCTTAACTTTGCTTCATTGCTTCTCGTCTTTCTACTTGACAAGTTCACTTCGAGCAAAAGATTCTACTTCATACAAAGTAGCAATTGTCGATTAATGGACTTCGCAGTGGGCCATTTAATTTCGTAATTTTCATGAACAATGAACTTTTAGGAGTTTAAACATAAGCAATGAGACCTTGAAGCCTAAATTAACAAATGGGCAACAAAGTGCCGCTGCTAAATTAATGGTGTAGCCCTTTCGTTATTAGAGTAAGAATTGCTTGGCTGATAAGGCTGGCCCAAGGAAGACAATCTATTCAATGAAAGCCCGCAACCTTTTTAGAAATAAAACCCAATTCATAAGGAAATCACTTTTTTGATTCATGATGGAAAGTTCATCTGCAAGTAATTCATATCATGTAGTTTGGAATGGCAAGTCTCAATTGCTTCCTCTGATCCTTTCCAGCAATCCTGAGCTAGATTCTGGGCAGATTACACTGACAAGAAAAGTGAAAGTCCTATTTTTCACTTTTATTTATAATGTTATATTGAAAGAATATATATATATATATATATATATATATCATCTATATATTGCAGATATATGGTCCTGGGTGGAGGAGGATAACGATGAAGAAAAGGGGCAGAGCAAGAGGAAGAAAAAAAGGAGTTGCAAGGATGCTTTAGAACCAGGGAATGAGAACTTGGAAAGAAGCTCTACCTGGGGGCACACAGTATTGGCTACGTAGAGTTGACGCTTGTGCCCGACTTTCAGTGTAGACTGCAGAGACAGTGTCCCAAACTCATCGGTTGGGTAAAGAGGTGCAATGAAATTGAAAGCATATCCAACTGTCCAAGTCCCTAGCTGGTCAAAAACTATATAATTTCGCAGTACAAGTTAACCAGAGATTGGGTATAGACTAGACTACTTCAAAAAAAGAAAAGAATTCTGTAGAAATGAAACTTGCTTTACCAGGCCAAATACGATTCCATCTTCAGTTTTTCTGCTTGTTAGCCAAAATAAATGAAAACAAAAGAAGAATCTTCGGAGGCTCAAAAGCTACCATTAAATACAAGCTATGCCACCACTATTCCAGCACTGAAAGAAGGGAGCTCAACACATGAGCTACAAAACTCCGAAAAACTTGTGCCATTTGCTGCAATAATTATTCAACTAGCATTCCCACCAATAATTAGAGATTATTTTTCAATATTCCCTAATTACAGATAAATTGATTAGACAAGCATATTAAATCAAGTCCTCCTTCCAAAACCATTGAGCTATTACCTGCTCTCTTTTGCAACATCACTTTTACACCATGTTTAATCAGAATGGCTTTGTATCCACAGCATTAGAATCGGCAACAGTAGCTTCACTCGTTGAATTTGTATCAACAGCAACAGATTCTATAACAGTAGCTTCCTCTATAGGCCCTTGACTCCCGTCTTGCACTGGCGCTTCACCTCCAGAGGAAGAGTCAATGGTGCTTTCACTGGCCATAGTAGACTGAGATTCATCTTTGTTCCCAAACAACTTAGATGGAAGTAAAGAAGAGACAGCAGCTTTTGCACTTCTCTTGGCTGCTTCCGCAGCCTCAATTTCTCTAGCCTTAGCTTCAGCCTTCAGTCTCTCTTTCTCCTCCATAAGCTTTGTCAAATCATCTTCTCTCCCTACCTTTCTTAATTCATCTTTAACAAACTCTTGCAACTCCTCGCTAAAATCAGCGCTTTCATCATCCAACATCTCATCAACCATTTTCAGCACCTCATCCAACTTCCCCACATCACTAAGTGCTTTCATCATAAACTTATAGCTTGCATCATTCATTTTAAGCTTCTTCACCATTGTATCATAAAAGGATTTCGCCTCCTCCACCTTTCCCACTTTAACCAATTCATCAACCAATCTATTATAAACAGCCAAGTTTGGCCTCAAACCCAACTCCACCATCTTTCTAAAATAAGAAGCCCCATCATCAATCCTCTTCATTTTAAAGCAAGCATCCATCAGCAAAACATAAGTATACTCATCAGGGCTAACTCCCTTATCACCCATATCGCCATATAGCTCCTCAGCTTCAGCCAACAGTCCATTTTGACAGAATTGATCAATCAAATTGTTAAATGACAAAGTATCCGGACTACACCTATAATCACCCATTAACCTAAAAACCTCCATGGCTTCCTTAAACTTACCTTCTGCGCAATAGCCATCAGCAATCACATTAAAGCTTCCCAAATTTACGGCGAATCTCCTAGGAGGACTGTGCTCATTTTTCATCCTATCAAACAACCTTAAAGCCTCATCAAACTTCCCGTTCTTACTTAAAGCATCGAGAACATAATTATAAGCAACAGCACTCATTTTAACCTTTGAATTATCTCCACAAGTTTCTTCATAACACTCCATAGCTTCCTTATCCATTCCCCTCATGAAATACCCTTTCATTAAACTCCCATAAACCACCCCATCTTCCAAAACCCCGTCTTTCTTCTCTTTTAACTCCTCAAAAAGCTTAAAAATCCCATCTGAATCCCCACTCCTGGCACAACCCAACATCAAATAACTATAAACAACAGGGTCAGGAGCCAAACCTTTCTCCGCCATCTCCTCCTTCATTTCCAAAGCCTTCTCCAATTTCCCATTATCCACCAGCCCTTTCGCTAAAATCCTATAAGTAGTAGGAGAAGGATTCACCGGGGACTCATTGGTAAACTGCTTGTAATGTTCGAGGGCAGTATCGGGTTTTTTACAATCAAGATAAGTTTGGAAAATAAGATTGTGGGTAATCACATTGGGGGCAATTCCGGCTAGGGTTATGAAGCGGTGTAGGGAGAGGAGATCGGCGTATTTCGATTGGCGGAGCTGGGCGTTTAAGACGGCGTTAACAGTGTAAATTGCGGGGCGGCAATTGGAGTAGACAGAGTGGCGCGTGTATAGAGCAGCCTCATCGAGGTCGTTTTCGCGGATGAGTTTTAAGATCTTGTTGTGGAGGTTGAGGCGGTTGCCAGTGAGCACAGTGACGGGTTCAGGGACTTTAGGGGCGTTAGGGTTTTGGATTGGTTTTGGTGGGGACATCTGCTGAGCCTGTTGTTGAGAGCGTTGGGCAGAGGAAAGTGGGGGCTCAATGCGGAGGCGGCGCTTGCGGCGACGGCGTTCGGCGGCGGCTTCTTCTGGGGTATTAAACGAGAGGCAGCGGAGTGTAATGAAAGAGGGAGGTGACCGGTGGTGGGGTTTGGCTAGGGTTTTGAGGTGGGTGAGGAAGGTGGGTTTGGAAAGAGCCATTTTGGTGAGGTCGAAAGGAAAGGTTTTGGTTTTGTTGATCGGTAGGGTTAGAGTGGTGGGACTGTGGGGATAATTTTGATAGGGTTCTGCCGAGGGTTTAAGGGATGGGCCGGCGATTGGCGATAGACTGGATATTCTAGTTGTAAACTGATGATGACTAATCAATACTGGATTAATGTTGTCTTAGGAAGTGTTTGGGCCACATTTGTAGTCCAACACTTTCACCTAAAACTGGCCCAACTATTTAATATTTTCTTTTCCTTCATGTGTAATTCAAAAAAAAAAAAAGGTGGTTTTTTTTTTTTAAGTGAATGGAACGTATGTATCATGACCCTAATTCACATTTGACAACTTCGACTCTACAAAGAGAAGGAGCAATTAATATTTATAATGTATAATAAAATTTGCTTATGTCAATATGAGCCATCATCAGGTTAAATTCAAATGGAAGAATAGTTTGTTATTTTGTTTCATGTTCTGAAATTTTATAAGATTTAAAAATGATGTAACTATCAAGATGAAATTTTCATTTTTTATCCGTACAAAATTATGTGATAAGAAGGAGGACTTATTATAATAAATTATAATAAAATTGGCCTTTGTGGCAAATGAAACAGGTTAGGTCTTATCTTCCTTGGAAGAAACAGGTCAGGCTGATGCTAAAAATTTGCAAGTTGGACGGTGGGAGAAAGGGACTCGAACGATTACTTTAATATAGGGTTGACAAACTTTGTGGCAAATGCACGGACCAAGGATATTTTTTGAGATTTTGATTTTTGTTTTTTAATCACATATTTGTCACATCGCAGGCGTCACCCAAAAACTATGTACCAAACGGCTCGAAAAGGTACGCTAAGGTCTTGGACTTGTCTGTCGGAAAGATGGTTAGAATCCAAGGCCAAAGAACACCTTTAGGAGAAGTGGAAGTCATTGTTTCGGAGCGTAATTAGTAGAATATTTAAGATGAAGTAAAGAAAGAAGGAACGAAGAAGAGGATGAAGTGCATGTGGGAAGTTTTAGAGAAAGTGAAGTTTGAGTATGTTATTCTCCTTTGTACCTAGATGTTTTATTATCTACGAGACCATGGATGATAACCTAATTAGAATAGTTGTTAGTTGATTGATGTATATATGAAGCTCGAAAATAATTTATATGAATGATTATGAGTTGCATCTAATCGCATCTAATGATTTTATACAAATTTAAATTATATTTAGTAATTTTAAATAAATTAAATGTCAAATGATTAATCTTAAAAAAAATTGATTTGATTGAATGTAGGAGATGTTATGATAGTTATTCCCTTAATAAAAAGGTAAGCTATTTCCTTGAGAGCAAATGATATGGTGATTTGGACTATTTTTTTTGGGTGACTCAAGGGTATGATTATGTTGATCAAGTTTTAACAAAGTTAATAATTACATAATTTGGATGAACAATTCTAATGCTACTGCTTTTTTTTTTTTATAAAAAAATATTGTGATATAATATAAATAAATTTAAATTTAAAATATTTATAAAGAGAAGAGATCAACTTGTATCAATACAAATTTTTTTTGTTTATATATATTTTTAATTATTAATTTAATATATTTAAAAGATGAGATTAAAATTTCTTTGATATGTTTTTTTCATCACTTAAATTTATTAAAATTAATTATTAGAAAAATATATAAAACTAAAAAGTTTTATACTAGTTTATCTTATTATATTTATAATTTTTTTTATAAATATCATAAAATTTTTTAAATTAGAATAGACAAATACTTCACCAATTTTTCTTAAAAAAAAAAAAAAAATCACCACTTGAGTATGAAAACTTTTATTAATAATTGAATTTAAAATTTGCTTTGCTGTAATACCGAAACGAGTAAGTATTAATTATTATACAAGTAGGAGGATTGATAAAGGATGAAGCCTCCAATAATCCACGTTGCTTTGTTTTCCATATGGAAAGTGTCTTGAAAAAACACTTTTTTATTCAATGATTTAACTATGTACATTATTATTTTCTGCTGGATTGAACGGTCGTGGAAGAAAGTAGAATTTCAAACTTTAGATCAGATCAGTTCAGACATTCTTTTTAGGAGTATTATATCAAAATTAATATGAAGTCTTTATCATGAAAAAAAAAATTAACACATATTTAATTTAAACTGATGATATAATCGAGTCATAAAATCATTAAATTGAGCTAGATTTTAAATTAGAAATTAAAAATTTAGCTCAAGGTTAATTGAATTTTATTTTTTAAATTATAGTTTAATTTTAAAAAATAAAATTATTTAAATTTATTTGATTAGATTTATTTATCAAGTAAAAAAAATTGATTTTCATAATCGATTTTAAGTTAAATTATTTATACTCAATTTTGAATTTAAATTGAGATTTTTTTTATAAATATTAAGAAAAAAATCATTAATTATTAATTAAAATAATAAAATATATATTAAAATAAAATTTTTTGGTTAAATTCACAAAACATTTGAGATGGATATTAAAATATTTAAATTTAACTCTTTCCATAACTTAAATTCAAGGTCAATTAAACCGAATTTAACTTTTATACAAATTAAGTGTGAATCATATATCTCGTTTACGCTCCTAATCTAGTTTAGATATTAAACCTCAAGTCGCGGACAAAAACTAATGTATACGTATCAGACATGCATGACATGGATTTGTTTCCACTTCCCACAAAATGCGTCACACTCTCATCAGAAGCTGACAAGATGCAGCGAACGCAATTATTTGGTCTCGGCGCTTGAGGAAAAGTAGGAAAAAACAGTTGGAGCCTAAGTTTTAGTTTAGAGGCCGTGAAATTAGTTACATGAAATTAAAAATAATAATAAAATTATTGTAATTAAAATTAAAAAATTATTATAATTATGATTAAAAATTTTTAATAAAAAATTTATATTAAATAAATGTTATCAAAATAAATATTTAAATTTAATTAATGATATAATAAATTTAATTATATTATATAAAAAATACGATTGAATCAAATGAACATTAAATCAATCATCATATAATTAAGGTATTTTTTCATATTTGTTGCTTTATTTATAATTCATGCTTTATCAAGAAAACAAATCAAACTAAATTTTAATTAAATATAAACACCGGCTTACCTCTTATTTTTTATTTATAAATTTATTTCAAAGAAGATACAGGACCATAATTTTAGCATCAACAGTTATAATTAATTAATTAATTAATCTATGATTTTATACTATTTTCATGCATGTTCATTGAGATAAAAATACTTCTTCATATTTTTGTAACTTTTTTTTTGCCTTTTTGAATCTTTATATAGATGATTAATTTTGAAGCATGAATTTAGTAATACGTATAATGTGCTCGTGAATGAACAATACTTTCTAAAATTTGGCATCCAAATTTCAAACCAAAATATTGGTTTTTTTTATTCTTTGTAAACTTTTGAAATTATGATGTACATTTAAAGTAGAAAGAAAATAAAAAAAAAAATTGAATTTAAAATTTAATTTAGTTGAATTATGTAATCTGTAATCTTAAAAGATAGTATTTTATAAATTTAAATTTATAATATTTTTTTATTTTTAAATTATGATTTTTTTATAAGAATTAAAAATTAAAAATTAAAACTGAATACAATTGTTACATCTTTGTCCGTCTTAAACTCCAATCCTTCTTTCGCTTTCCCTTCGTTATTGTCTTTGAATCTGTTCTTAATTAGGTAACATGTTGCAAAAGAAAAGAAGAATAAGCATAAAATCAAACCTCAACTCTCACGGCCTTAAATGCCAGTTGCACCATTCAAACAGGTCCGTTGATTCTCTCTATCACACTCAATTATCATTTTGCTGTTTTTGATTTGTTGTTATCTGACTGACATTGCTTTCTTCAGTTATCATCGTTATTATCTTTCGAGTGTTGGGTCCCTCTGCTTTTGAGGTTTTTCTTCGGAATGGATTCGTTTTCAATTTTATCTTTTTGCTTCTCTTTGTGGGTATTTGGATTTCTGTTTGTTTGCTAAGAAAATATTGTTGGAATTTGCCTTGAATCTCACAAAAATATAAGAATGAAAAGATGGTAGTTGCAGCGCAGGTCCATTGGATCTTTGTTAAATAATTTATGTTTTACGTAATTTTCTTTGTAAGGTTCTTAGGATTTAAAGCTTTTTATTGAAGAATTTATGATTTTGTTCCGGGTACCATCCCAAAAACAAAAGGAAATTAATTTTCTATTCTTTTTTTTTAATTTTTTTTATTTTGAGTCTTGATGAGGTTCTATTTTCTAACTTCTAGGCAAGCATTTTAGAAAGTAATGATAATTAAAAAGCTCAAAATATGAATTTTTGGTAGTTATTCTTTACTCAAATGACAGATTTTAAGGCCTAAGCCACATGATTTTTGTGGATCATAGTAGTTTGAAGACTGTAGGAAGCTAGAATCACATTATAAACAAATTGAATACAGCCTCTGCTTGGTTGCTGAGAAAACAAAAGGAAAAACTCAAAAGAGAAAATTTTTTAATTTTATGTAAGGGCGGCTAGGCCATGCTGATGTGTTTTGTGGGCGGTCCCAATTGTGGTATCTGAATTTGTTTTTTGTTCTTGATTCTTATTACGAGTTGAGTTATCATGGTTACAAATCCTCGTTAAGTTCAAGGATCTCACCCTGTAAATTTGCGTTAAGGTACAACCATACAAGATCTAGAAGTGAAATTTTATACAAGGTTCAATGTTTACAAAGCTTATCTGCTGTTTCTAGTCTTCATTTTCTGGCAGGCAGAGAGGAGGTATGGGGAGCATGAATATTCTTATTTTATCAAATTTCTCTTTCTTTAGTTTAAAAAATATTGGAGCCAAAGCTAGAGGCTGTTGGTTATCTTTAATATTTTGTGGAAGTTTTTAGGGGGGTGAGATCTGCATAGTTTGTTTGGTATTAAGAGAATGATTGATTTATGTAAGAAAAACTTTTGCTATTGTAATCTTCTGGTTTTTCCATGCCATTTTTTTTAGTTATATCTTTGAATAGGATGAAATGGAGTTTTCAGACTGCTAATGATGTATTTGTTTGTTCATTGTTGCTCCTACTAGATATTGTGACCTAAATTGGAGACTAAGATCATATATGGAATTACTTGCTTAATGGTTAATTTCTGCTTCATCTAAAGGGCCTGCTGGGTTTGATAAAGTTGCTTTCATGGTTTTTTTCCTTTCTTTACAATGTCAGCTATAATGAGAGCGTATGCTTGATGAATGAACTTTGACAGCCTTACTTTGAAGTTTTTATGTTAAAGGCTTTGCTGCAATAACTTAGAGTGTTCTCAGGTCTGTTTATTGTCTAAGGCCTGCTGAACAAAAATTTTATACTACAATCAAAGCAACCTGTTTGAGAACCATTATTGTGGATTTTTGGTAGCAAAACAATATTATACATAGACGAATAGACCTAAGTTTTTTGGTCTTCGGGCTTTTGGAAAATATCCAGTGTGTAGATTAGATGGTTAGACCAGACGGAGGATAAGCACTCTCATGGAAAGTAACTGGGTGGTTGCTGAGATAAGCGTGGCTTTTAATATCTTTTACTCCATGTTCTTTTTCCTGTGCCTGCTCTCAAGCAACAGCTTGTAAATGACCAAAGTTCGAATTATGTCACTCTTCCAATTGTCTTTCCCCTTTATTCTTTTGAGTTGTTGACCCTTAGGACAGCTGTTTTTCTACCGGATGGCTGTCAAACTAATTTGTCACATGGTGACCATAGTTGAATTTTAATCTTTTTCTTTCCGGGTCTAGGGAGTCAATCTATTATCTCACTTAATCTTGAACTGTGGTAGTTTACTTATCTGTAGGATGTCCTGATGTCAAGTATGTTATTTACTTAATATAACTACTCTTAACATGTGGATGCAGTTGAGCTACCTTTATTCTTTTTCATTTTATTGATAGCCCACATTTTGATTTGAGACTATGTTAAATAGCATAAAACCTAATAGGAGAGCTAGCATGGAAAAGCAATAGCTCTAAAACAGTGCATTCTAATACTTTGAAGCTGTTTTGGCAAGCAGTCTTATATAGGAAGTCTTCTGGGTAAACAGTCACCTAGAATCATTTATTCTGTATTGTTTAAGAATTGAAAACAATGTTCACCATATCATAATGAGATTGATTTTTGAGTCATGTTTATTTGTTGTTGTTAGAAATTGACTTTGTCTCAGGCATGGAGGATATGGTCCTAGAAGATTTTGCTCAGCTGTTGCTTGAGTTTATAATAAGATGCCACAGATAAATCTTCTGGAATGATACTTGTGAATATTAACAAAATTCTTAAATTTTGGGAATTTTGAGTTTGGATGAGGCTAGTGATTTTTGATAAATATATACTTTTGATATTGGCAGGTGAAGCTTCTGCAGCAAATGAGTGCATTGTCATTAATTTTTGTGATTGAATAATACTAGTTGTTGTCATGGGCTGTGTAAGCTCGAAGAGAAGCAAAAGAGTACCTGGCTATGAAGAGCCGACCGTTCTTGCTGCTGAAACACCTTGTGAGCAACAATTCCAGCTCTTTACGTAGTTTGCAACTATGCCACCAAAGTTTGCCTCTGCTTGTCTGTCTCTTTCCAACATTGCTGCTCATAAATCCACGATGATTCTTAGCATCTTTCTAAAGAAATCTATTGGTTTTTCAATATACCTTGTTAAGCTTATATCTAGACATGTATTGGAAAAATACAGTAGATGTCAAGATATCTGCAAGTTGAGAACAATTTCTGAATTTAGCCTTTATTACCACCAGGGTAATTTCTGTTTGAAATAGCTAAGTAGTTGGTCATTCGGAGCATGAAATGTTTTCTCTTCTTTGCAGTTACAGTTAATGAAGTACAGTCCTTGCATGAGCTTTTTAAGAAAATAAGCAATTCAATAATTGCTGATGGGCTTATTCACAAGGTATGAATGCCAGTGGTTAGTACTTAGTACTAATAATTTATTCGATATTTACGATTCAAATCTAACCATAAGTAGACATTAATTAATTGCTGTGAAGTTTTGACAATTTTGTGCTTTTTATGATTAGGAAGAATTCCATCTGGCCCTCTTCAAGAACAGAAATCAGAGAAATTTTTTTGCAGACAGGGTGTGTAATGTTAGCTCCACATTTCTTGTATTGGGTTGTCTAACTTTATTAATGTGCTGAAACGTAAAATAACTTTGGCCAATATTTCAGGAATTTTCAACTGTCATAATGCCAGATCACTAGGACAGAACATTTATTTTTCTGTGATGTTATTGTTCCCTCTTTTTAAATAACATCGTCTGTGGATTTGCAGGTTTTTGATGTATTTGATATCAAAAGTAATGGGGTTATCAAGTTTGGCGAGTTTGTTCGATCGTTGGGTGTCTTTCACCCCCATGCACCTGAGGCTGACAAAATTGCATGTAAGGTCAATTTTATGAATTTTCTGGATAGTATATCTACAAATGATGAACCTTTCTTCATAAGTAGCCTTCAAATATCATGCTTAATGCAATATGTTCTAAGTTGGGACAATCTTTTTGCAGTTGCTTTCAGGCTTTATGACCTAAGACAATTGAGCGTGAGGAGGTTCGTATTGTAACAGTGACCTATGAGTTTCACTGTCTACAAATCTTTTATTTATATTGTTGATAGGTGGCCACCAAATTGTATAGGTTTATCTATTGATCTAAGAAAACATCACGCCAACAATTGGGTGAATTCCAAAATATTGCTAATGTCTATATGCTTTCTTATAATTGTTTTCTATAGGATGATAAAGAAAAAAAAATCTTGATCCTTGGGTATAGAATATAAATGTACATCATGATTCTTGGTTCTTAAGATCTGTTTCTTAATCAACCTTTGGGCTTTGGTTACTTGCTAAAATAGTCATCAACTCACAGTTGAAGGAGATGGTTTTGGCACTTTTGCATGAATCAGATCTGGTTCTTCCAGAGGCTGTTGTTGAAACAATTGTGGATAAGGTGCAGAAAACTCCAACCTGTCAACTATCTTATCAATTCATATTTGATATGGACGTCCTAAATCTATTTTTTCACCTTTTCCTCAGACATTTAGTGAAGCAGACACAAAAAGTGATGGAAAAATTGATTCAGAAGAGTGGAAGGACTTTGTATCAAAGTATCCATCTCTGATAAAGAACATGACGCTCCCATATTTAAAGTGAGTAGCAAGTGTTATAAGAGGTTCGGCCCGATTTTAAAACTCACAACATATAGCAGCATAGCAGTAAGATGAACTTTGAAGTTGTTAACGTTCCGCATTTGGTTTCGTGATCAACAGTATTTCCTTGTGCATTGGGTCTAACTTTCAAGTTGATCCTAGTCAAAATTCACTCAACTTACCTTAGTCGTGGAGTGAGAGAGTTGCTGAGTTTTGAATCAATTGTTTTTGTACTGATCTCCCTAGTGGATTCTGTCTTGCAGGGATTTAACCTTAGCTTTCCCCAGCTTTGTGGTTAGGTCTGAAATCGAAGACTTCTAAGTCTAGGCTTAATGCTAAAGCTAAAAGGACATAAATCATGCTGTCAATGGTATTGGAGATACATATCAGATTTTGTCAAAATGTTTTGTGCTGTCTCATTAATTTTGAAGGTGACAAACCTGAGCTTGGAAGAAGATACTGTGCGCAGCCAAGAACCAAGATCAGGTTCACAAATCACGACCTGCAACTTTATTCTGCCATCATCAGCTGTTCAATGTTGTTGGAACTCGGGGGTTTGTACATTGATGTTGAGCATCAGAAATTTTGTGATAAAAACGGTTTTATGAGAAATATTTGCAATCCAATCCTTGAAGACGTCATATGCTTTTTCTTTTTTTGTTAAAATTTTTTGATATTTGATAATTATTTTTAATTTCAATTAATTTAAAATCAAATCGAATTAAATTTTATAAAAAAAATAAAATTTTTTAAATATTTTTTTATTTATAAAATTTGACTCGAAATTAATGTTTATTTAAAAAAAATTAAACTTTTTATCGTTCGAACTAATAAATAATTACGACATCATATTTTTATGATATCAAGAAATTGAGGTTTAAAAATGAGTAAATTTATTATGATTTTCATAAATTGTGATATTCGTACATCAACATGACAACATCAAATTAATGCTTCAAACAACATAGTCATTCCTCCAAAAAAAATTGAACTAACTGCTGTCATCAAATTAAGAGCTTTGATTAATTGGAAGGCCCCAATCTGATACAGCCATCAAACGTGTTAGTTGTCAGTTTCTTAGTGGCCAGTTTGGAGTTATGGTCCGCCATACACCACGGAGGGATGTCCTAATCTACACCCTTGCCCGAGCACAAAAGGCACTTCAACTTTCTTCCAAACAAAAGGTACAACACGTGGCGCACAGACAGTGAATCATTTAGGAACTTTGGTTCTCCGAAAACACTGAGGATTCTATCCCCTTTTTTTTTATGAAACCTATCTGTCTTTTTTTTTCTTTCTTCGAGAGATTCCGGAAATTGAAAAAAGAGTTCCACGCGCCTGCAGAGCGGTGGAATAAACTTTTGTACTATTACAGTATGATCCCAGATTTCATCGATGAGGTGGCAAAATCCTTTTATAAAACATATAATAATTTTTGTAATTTAAATTTAAATTTTTGTTATTGAGTGCTTCAAAGATATATTTTTTAAATAATTAAGATATTATTTATAATAAATAACTTCTATAAAATTATTGGTACTACAAAATAAAATTCTTTTTTATAGATAAGGTTTAAATGATAATGATAAAATTCTCACCATTACTATTTTTTAGTGAACTTATCTTATTTTTTTATCTAATTTGATTAATAGTATTTTTAAGTTCTACATGAACTTAATTTATTGGTTGAATAATTTTAAAAGTACATAATATTTTTTATATTCACTTAATATTTTCAAATTTTATTTTAAAATTATTTTTATAAATTTTAAATATTAATTAATAAAAAAATAAAAGTTTTTTAATCAATTGCACTAAATCATGTGGATTGTTAAATTATATAATTGACAAGCAACATCTCTTAAGAAATTGAAAGCTAAAATAAACAAAAATAGGAAAAAAAAAAAGAATAATTATCGGTTACTTTCCCAGTTTTTCCCTTGACATTGTAACGCGCAATAGTTGCGCGTAATTAAAGAAAAAGATTGATTCAAATTTCCCAAAGTCGAAAGATTAAAACAAGAAGCAGCTTAATTAAAGCTCAAATAGTTTCTTCTCTTCTCTTATCTTATCACCTGTCTGTCAGTGTCTGTCTGTCTGTCATTTTAACGCCGGTTAGTCCAACAACGCTCTTACATGAATAGATCATTCCCTACCTTTACAAAAATCATTAAAATCCCCCACAGAATCCAACTCCATTAATTCCTTCTTCTTCTATTTTTTTTTTTTAATTTAAGCTCTAAAAAAAATTATATTGACGTCACAGATCGGCTCAGCTTTTTTTGCAGGTAATATTCGAATCCTATTCCTTCTGGAAAGAAAAGAGAGAAAAAGTTGCACTTTTTTTTTCTCTGCTGCTTTGTAATTTAGTGTAGTTTATGATTAAAGTAAAAGAAGAAAAAAGATTTGGTTTTCGCGGAAAAAGTGTGGATTCGGTTTAGTTCAGTAGGCTGTGATCGGATCCACTGGATTAGCAGGTAATGGCTCTCTTAAGTGTTCTTTTTTGTAATTAATTTTCTGTTTGGTTGCCAAGAAAACTATGGAAATACAGAGTGAATCTTTAAATGAGGCCGTTTTATGGTTTTTACAGAGAAAAAAAAATGATAACGAGTTCAATTTTCAAAATGTGGTATTTGCAGCTTTAGTAAATGGAAGGAACATTTTAGAATAACTTGGATTTAATTAGCTGGATTGTTGAATTTGGAGGAAAATAAAAAGAATAAAACTTTTCAATCTTGAATTCATGATGATGTTTTTACTTCATTAATTTGTACCAATAGGAGTTCCGTCAATTTTTAATGCAATCAGTTGATGAAAGTAAAGAAAAGAAGACGAGTTTGAAACGATCAAGATCATCATCCCCTCGCAATATGCCTGTGACTGACAGCACTGCTACGCAAACTCCTGATGATTGCAATCTTTTCCCTGTTGAAGAGATAGTTCAATCACCATTACCAGGATATGTAGCACCTACTTCTGTTAGTTTTAGTCCAGATGATAGTTTGATAGCTTTTCTATTTAGTCCTGGTCATACTTTGAGTAGAAAGGTTTTCGCCTTTGATCTCAATGCTGGCAAGCAAGAGTTATTCTTCTGTCCCCCAGATGGTGGACTCGAGGAGAGTAATATATCACCGGAAGAGAAGTTGAGGAGGGAGAGGTCCAGGGAGCGTGGGCTGGGAGTTACACGTTATGAATGGGTGAAGCGTATCTCAAAGAAGAACACTATTATGGTTCCTTTACCTGGAGGGGTATGTTAAAGAATCCCATCTATTGATTTGAATGTACCATTATAAAGGTTTATTTAGTCCACATTGTGTTCTGCATGAGTTATGGTAGCTTACATATGACTTCTTCCCCGAAATCTTAGCATTGTGATTTTTCGTGTTTGATTTATCTTTTTTAATAAATTTTGTTTTAATCTTAAAATATACTTAGAAACTAATTGAACCAATTAGGGTGAATATTCTTTATTGGCAATATCACTTATCCAATAGAGTGCCTTTTAAGTCTTTTTGTTTTTTTTTTTTTTTTTGTTTAATTGGGGTCACCAGGGCATGTTTCTAAGGGCAACGATATGTATGTTGAGGTGAAATAAGTTACTTTTGAACCTTTTTCTCGGTTCTTCATTAACCACAATTCGCTGATTTTCATGCTGGTTCAGTGACGCTACCATGATGCTGCTATTGCTATTAGCTGCCCCACCACTGTAGATTCCTTTTGATCATTTCCTAGACCCCCCCATACCCATTGTTTGTACTGATACACCAAATTCGAACACCATCACCACACCAACCTGCCTGCTTATCACCTTATCGTATCACTTGTAGCACCACTTTAACATCTCCGGCAGTGTTTCACCTGCAAATTGGTCAAAACTTTATACCCTCCACATTCAATTTTAGCTTCAGTTATTACTAAAAATTCCCAGTTGTTGTGTGAATTAGCTGGTCAAATTACATGTTTCCCTGCAATGTAATCATTTTGCACCCGACCTTCTACCACTTCAGATCCCTTAGCACTGTTATCTTTTATGCTACTTGTGTGTGTGTGTGTATTCTTTTATCCAAGTCTTGCTAACAACATACAGTTTAGAAATTCTGTTTTCCCTCATAATTTGTTCTCTTTTTTGTGGGCAGATTTATTTCCAGGACCTTTCTGGTTCAAAACCAGTTCTCATGCTTCCAAGTATGTCATCGTCATCAATTATTGATCCACATCTTTCCCCAGATGGTACTATGCTTGCTTACATAAGAGATTATGAGCTGCATGTTCTGAATCTTTTGTACAATGAACAAAGACAGTTAACATATGGTGCCAATGGGAACATTGTGGTAAGTCTATATTAACAGTGTCTTTATGGGTTAGAATTTTAATTGCATCACATCTTTGGATGTTTGTATATTTACAACAAATTTTCTTTTCTTTTCTTTTCTTCTTCCCTCCTTTTTGTGGGAGAGGGGAAGGTAGTTGTTAGAAGAAAGTATGTGAAATTTTAATGATGCAATATATATATGGCCTTCAGAGCCATCTAGAACAAGCAATTTGATATTTGGCTGCAAACATAGAATGGTATAACACTTTGCTCAGTCAGCTAATTGCAGGACATCCTAAGCTCCGACTACATAGGGCCAGCTCCCTCGTTGTCTGGTCTATGCTTTATCTAATTTCTCTTTTTTACTTTTACCTTGTTGCTTCTTATCGGCGGGAGCAATGATTGTTAACAGCAACACTGCCTGGAAAGAAGCAAATCAACCTGTAAAAGTTATACAGCTTAGATAACCTGGAAAAGTTATCTAAGTTCTCTGGCACATTGCCAATTCATTAACTACATTATACAGCTTAGAAATCATCGGGCAACTTTTCCTGGTTTTCATAAAAATTAGTGAATGCAATAATTCTAAATACCATAGGCTGTAATTGTTAAAACGGATCAATCAGACTTCTAAATTTGGTGGCAGGCAAGTTTTTGGATTATTTGTACGATTTTTACCTGGTTTCAATCTGCTGTGTGGGTGTGGCAAATGAAGCAAGTTAGGCTTTAACATTTGACATTTGTTTAGGTTTTTTTTTTTAAATTGTCTTGAATATGACACTATTTTTAATAATTGCAGACTCATGGACTTGCTGAGTATATAGCTCAGGTGACAATTTCTTTCAATCTCCTTCCTTTGGTTAGCATATTTATGTAAATTTGGTCACTGATTACTATGAGTTTGGAACTTACTATTTTTGAGTGCAAAGAGAAATTACAGTTTCTTTCAGGGGCATACAGTCAATGCCATAAAGTTACCAATGATGCCAAAATTCATTCTTTTTCCTTTTTCGTTAATCTCTATGTTGTGCATGTAAATTCTTGACCCTCATATTTTGGGAATTTCCCTAATTGCAGGAGGAGATGGATCGTAAAACTGGGTATTGGTGGTCACTTGATGGCAAGTTCATTGCATTTACAGAGGTTGATTATTCGGAAATACCTCTTTTTAGAATTATGCATCAAGGTAAAAGCTCAGTCGGTCTAGAGGCCCAGGAAGACCATGCTTATCCTTTTGCAGGAGCTTCAAATGTCAAAGTTCGCCTTGGGGTGGTCTCCAGTACTGGTGGTACTGTCACTTGGATGGATATTATCTGTGGGGGACCAAACTACAATGATGAATATTTGGCTAGAGTCAACTGGATGCATGGAAATGTTCTTACAGCACAAGTTTTGAATAGGTCTCACTCCAAACTACAGATCCTTAAGTTTAATATCAAGACAGGCCAAAAAACTGTTTTAATGATCGAAGAACTAAAACCTTGGATTAATCTACATGATTGCTTTACACCTCTGGACAAAGGAGTCACCAGATATTCTGGGGGGTTCATCTGGGCAAGTGAAAGAACAGGATTCAGACATCTTTATCTGCATGATGCTAATGGGACTTGCTTAGAACCCATTACAGAGGGTGAATGGATGGTTGAGCAAATTGCTGGTGTAAATGAGGCTGCTGGGCTTGTGTATTTCACTGGAACTCTTGATGGACCTTTAGAATCACACCTTTACCATGCTAGACTATGCCCAGATGAAAATTCAACATTGCAGCCCCCTGTCAGATTGACTAATGGCAAGGGAAAACATGTGGTTGTGCTTGATCACCACATGCAGAAGTTTGTTGATATTTATGATTCTCTTGATTCCCCCCCTACGGTTTTGCTTTGCAGCTTGATTGATGGAAGTATATTAATGTCTATTTATGAGCAGCCATTAACAATTCCCGAGCTTAAAAGACTTCAACTTGAGCCTCCAGAGATAGTTCAGATACAGGCAAATGGTGGTACCGTACTATATGGGGCTTTATATAAGCCTGATGCAACAAGATTTGGACCTCCCCCATACAAAACCTTGATCAGTGTGTATGGTGGTCCTAGTGTACAACTTGTTTGTGATTCTTGGATAAATACCGTTGACATGAGAGCGCAATACTTGCGGAGCAAAGGCATTTTAGTTTGGAAGGTTTGTCTTTCTTGCATTGACAACTTACGTCATATCTGTGTTCTTAAGTTTCTTTGAAGTTCACTGCAGGGGTTCATGCATGTTCATGTTTCTATCCGTTGATGAAGATCATTATTACATCTTCCGCATCCCTTTACTTCCCCACCTAACATATGCTCTTTGCAGTTGGATAATAGAGGAACGGCTAGACGTGGACTGAAGTTCGAAGGCTGTCTCAGAAACAACATAGGCCGTGTTGATGCGGAGGATCAGCACACCGGAGCTGAATGGCTAATTAAACAAGGGCTGGCAAAGGTTGGCCATATTGGTTTGTACGGTTGGAGCTATGGTGGTTATCTCTCTGCCATGGTCTTGGCCAGATTCCCTGATGTTTTCCAATGCGCTGTCTCTGGTGCTCCTGTTACATCATGGGACGGATACGACACATTTTACACCGAGAAATACATGGGACTGCCTTCCGAGGATGCTGAAAATTACGAGTACGGCTCCGTGATGCACCATGTTAATAAGATGAAAGGAAGGCTACTATTGATTCACGGCATGATCGATGAAAACGTCCATTTTAGGCACACGGCGAGGCTTGTGAACGCGCTCGTGGCAAACGGAAAGCCGTATGAGCTATTGATTTTTCCAGATGAACGGCACATGCCACGCCGTCATAGGGACCGAATTTATATGGAAGAGAGGATATGGGAATTCATTGAGAGGAGCTTGTGAGGTAACACTTCTTATTTATACATCATCTCCACCATAGTCTAATGTTGTTTGTTGGGAAAGAGAATCGGATTTTTCTACCCTCTTTCCAAATTTCATAAAATCTTGGACAATTTCTCTTAATTTTTAAATTGCAATTTAACTTTTTGCCCCGAGCTGGTTTTGACGTGGATGCGATCTATTGGTTCAGTCAAATAACAGCAAAGTACCAGATCCTGAAAGAAAAAAAAGAACACTTCATTTACTTCCAATTAATAAACGATCTTATATCAAATATGAAATTTAAAATATAAAAAAAAAAGAAAATAATATCATCTTTTAATTTTAAAAAATGGGGTTGTAATTGCTTAGTTCACATTAAATTTATAATTATTAAAGTTGATAAATTAAATTTTATATTTTAGGCTTTTATTCTAAGCAACCAATTAAAATGAGAAACAAGCAAAAGACTCCCAAACAAAAGAGAAAAAATGAAATTATTATTTCATAAATTTGTATACTATTAATAATTAAACTTAACAATATATTTGTAATTGTCATTCATATAAAATTTTAAATTAATTTGATATTTTTATTCTTTCAATCAAGAATGATATATTTTTCAATATATATTATCAATCGAAAATTTATTATTATTAAATACGCATAAAAAAGAATAATTCAGTCTTTTAAAATACATGTGATTTGTGATTTAATTAATAATCTCTCCGAAACTTGCATATTTACATGCTATGTGCGTCTGCGATACTATAACTGGCCCGTAGATTTAAAGATTGGGCCCTTGAGCTTTCCCACTGTATGAGATGCACAAGATCTGTGTGTTGGACGTAAGGTTGGCAAATGCAGATAGGCACAATTAGGGCTGTAAACGAGCCGAACCGAACTGAATAATGAGAAATTCGAACTCGAATTTGACTCACAATTCGGAGTTCGATATTCGGTTCGAACTCGATCGAGTTTTATTTTTCAAGTTCGAGTTCGATTCGTGATCGAATTCGAGCTACTCGAGCTCGCTCGATTAATATGTAAAAATAAGCTCGATTCGTATACTCGATAAGAATTCGATTATTCATGCTCGAACTCGAAATATTTTATTAATTAAAATAATAAAAATATATTTAAATATAAAAATTCGATTAAGCTCGCGAATTACTCAAGTCAAATACATAAAAAGGAGTTTCTAGTTTAACTGTATGGTGATCTTTATGTTCATAAAACATAAAACCTCTTATAGCTATGAAAACGCTTTGCTTTCATGTTATTAAACATGTCATTACTTGAACTCTTGGTTCTATATTGAAGCTGCTAGGAACTTAGCTTTCGAAATTAAAGCTGTTTTACAAATCCAAATTGTCTGACAAAACAGTAAATCTCTTTTACCTTCTTCACTTTGAAATTCTTGAAATTTGTCGACTGTTACAAACTTTTGTTGTGGGAGATTAGAGCTTCTTTAGCATCAATTTGCATCACCTTGATATTGCTCTTTATTTTGCTGCAGTTTGAGGATTGCACATTCTCATAATTATGAGAACTAATCCATTAGATATTTAATTAGATATGATTGACTACTTAAACAAATCTATTCTTTCTTAAAATTATCTTAAAATTTGACTAAACGCCTCTAAAAATAATAGGTTCTACTCTTTTAAACAATATTATATTAAAAAGTTTAATTACATGTAATGAAAGTTATAGCACATTGACAATACTTACAAATCGATACTACTTAATCTTAAATTATCTTTTTAACCTTAATTAACATGATCCTAATTTATTTTTATTAATTTAATATTTAAATATTAAAAATATTTTTAAGTTGTTTCCAACACCTTGATCGACCTTTTAAAAATATTTTTTATTTCAAAAGTATTTAAGTAACATGTTTTTTCTTTGAAAAAGCTTTAGATTTATTAAATATTTTATGAAATAAAATTAATTATTAATATATGATAATTTAAATATACAAATTCATAATAATAATAATAATAATAATAATCAAATATAAGGCTAACTACAAAAGTTAATACATATAATCACACTTTAAAATAATTAATCATGAAAAGAAATTACATCACAATAACTTATTCTCAATTTTAATTTTTCCAATTAAAAATAACTAAAAATTCTTAAAGCCTATTTTTAAATTTTTGTAACTCCTTGATCAAATTAAAAAAAAATTATTTAAAAATTTTTACGAAAATTACTTGTTCGTAACTTAGAATTTTATCATTGGGCAAAAGGTTATTATTTTTAATTATTTTATTTTTACAAATTAATTAAAATATATGATAAAATTAATCAAAACAAATAAATTAATCAAATAAAATAATCAATAATCAAAAAAAAAAAAAAAAACCAAAATGAGTCAAGTTGACGTGCAGATCTTGCCGAGTCAGGTTTTGCAAAATATTTTAGCTCTTTTCACTTTTTTTTTCCCTCACTTTCCTCTTTCCCTTTCGGTAGCCGATTCTCTTTTAACTTTTCTCTAGAAAACTTTAAATGCTGGTCGGAATCTTTAAAGTGTCGTTGAAAACTTCAATGAAAAATTTAAATTTCTTTGAAAAATTCAAACATCATTGGATCAAAAAATTCAAATTTTATCATGAAAAAAATTAAAATTTTCAGAAAATTCAAAAAAAAAAAAATCTCTAAACCCAAAGTTGGATTCTTTTTTCGTTTCTCTAAATCATTACTGTCTAAATCACACCATCCCAAAATCACACTAAGAAATTTACTAAAAAATTGCTAGAATTTTTCCTTTTGCTAATTGATTCTTTTGTATTAATTGTGGGTCGTTAAATAGGTTTTTTGTTCGAGGTTAAATAGGATTTCAATTTCAAAGAGGATTTCAGAATCTTCTTTCACTCTTATTTAATCTCAAAATTTTAATCAAACACAATTTCTTAATTTTCTCTTAATCCAGAACGTGTACAAAATTAAAATCTAATTAACCTTTAAATACCTTACGAAACAATTATCCTAGATCAAAAGGAATTTGACCTCAAAAAGACTTTAGCAATTTTAATCCAGACTAAACATTATAAAATTAAAAAGAACATAAAATTAAATCCAATTAAACTTCTAATGGACAAAAATATAACTTGGACAAATATGATATCTACACACATTTGACTGGCTCTACTGGCTTCAAGCTCATGAACCTTATTCCCTTGATGTCATCAATTATGTTAAGTTACTGGACGCTGAACAAGACACTGAACTTTTGAAGTGTCATGGTTGGGAGATGCCACGTCTGTGTGCTCGCACCCTTGGCATTTTCACCATGCTTCTAAAGAAAGGCGTAGAGAGAGGATTCACACCCTTTGCTATTGGAAGAATCATGTGTAGGGAAACAGTGAAACAGGAGTCAGTGATCGAGCAGATTGGTAGAGAATCAGAGGAAATTCTACTCCCTAGAATGACTGATGGTGATTCATTTTGAAGCTGTGGCATTGATCATGGTGTTGGGATTGCGAAAGCTTTGATATGATAAAAAAGCCTCAATCAATTAAATTGAACATTTATGTCAACAAAAATAAAATTAAACAATCTATCAATTGTTAGTCCCAATCCAATTAAATAATTGCATTAACGAAAATAAAATTAATTAATTAATTAATTACATAAAAAATAATAATTTGATATGATTTGATTCAATCAATTTACGTCTATAAATGAAAAATAAAATCTATTAGTTATAAAAAATTATATCAAAATAAATTAATCTTACTCACAATTAATATTTATAGATCCTTTTAATCTTTTTTAATTTTATAGAGTATTTTTAATCTAAATAAACGCATACTTATGTGCACTTAGGCACCATATCTATATGAACCATATTAATAACTTTTAATCTACTCACAAACATACATATACACTTATAAGATATAAATCTTCAGTAATATTATGAGTTATTTATCTCATAAAATCCTATAAATCTATTACATCATTTTTTTATACCTAATCCTATAAAAATTTTACTTATTTATAAATATATAAACTTACTTATCAAAAAAAATTTCCTCTTAAAATTATTTTTTTGTAATTTTTTTATTCATAAAATAATATCTAACAAATCTCTGAATTAATATTCTCATCATTTGGATCATCCTCTTGATGAACTGACCTTGTAAGCCCCAAGGCAACCAGTTAGGTAGCTTTGCATGTCTGCATCTTCGACAATGCGGATATACTGCAGAAGGATGATGGTAGTCCATATTTTTGTTAAATGGTCTTGCATAAGTTCTGGGTAACACTGGGATGTTGCTGGAACTTGTGTTTTTATCATCTGTTTTATTTTGTTCGTAGAGCCAACTTTCCTTTGCAGCACATCCTCGAACCATAGTCTATTACCTGGAAATGCCCTTAAGCAATCTATCCAAGCACAAATTGTATTGGGGAGATTTTAGTTGTTTGGTTATAGCTATGTCAATAATAGTATATATAACTTCATAGTATTGGTACAGTATCTCATTAAATTTATTTATTGGTTTTTTTGGCATTTATGCTCTTTCTTTACCTCCAATGGTTCGGCCATGTGAAGTAAGATCTGGTTGGCGCCACCATCTAGAACCAAGAGTACCAAAAAATTTATTCCACACAGCTGGCTATGCATCCTTTGGCTTTTAGCTAGCCTTTTCCTGCCTAACTTTCTTATTGTAGGGGTGTCCCACTTGCATCCACCCCTCGACAAAATAACAAAATTTTGTGTGAAAAATTGATCCAAAGTACCTGACTTTAATGGAACATGTCAATTGCCACAAGCTGGATGCAGTGTTGCAAAAGCATTATTCTTGGTTAAAAAGATTGAACTCTTACCCCATCGAGGCAGGTGTTTGATAAAAAACAGGGTGGACAAAGTTCCATATGTCTCGAATGGACCCAGGTGCAGTAGGCCATATCGTTTTAAACCCCTGGGTCCGCAAACCTGTGGGTTGATCTCAACACCCATGGGCTTTGCTTTAATGACCAACAAATCAACAATGTAGTGGCTAAGCATTTATTTCTCCAGTCAATCACCGACACCAATAATTTACAGGAAAACCTGAGCCTCACGTAATCAAAAAGTTGCAGCAACAACCCATCGAGGTGACAAACGGTCAAAACGAAGAAACATATCTAACTTCATTTCATTATTACAACGAGATTTTGACTAAGGAATTTATAACTAGAAAAAAAAAATAAGGAAAGTAGTAGTAGTAATTCTTACATGTCTGGAGTTAAATCAACAAGAACAGTGACGCTTATTAAAATATTCGCGAAAAATTTAGAAAGATAAAATTATATTTCATACAATTAAAAACTAAAAAAAAGTGGTAAAAGAACATTTAATTTTTAAACTTGTAGACCAGCCAAAAAAGCAACCCCTGTTGATGGTAACCATGATGATCCATAAATAAACTGAGCCACGGTGAATTTAGCCGCTTCAATATCTGAAGTGATGACTCTGTACCCGGGCCATGTGACCCGTTGCCCAGTTGCTGCACCTGGCCCATAATTCATGTATTCACCGTAGTATAGTGTGTCCAAGGCAAATGCAGCGTTCCACTCCAGCCATCCCCTAGGGTGAATGTGGTCACTCATGTATGATAACATGACTACAGCTCTAGAGTACAACTTCCATGGACGGCCTAGATACGTTTGGAAGCTACCATTGGCCGCGGCGAGATCCGGTGTCGGTAGGATCTGACATGCATGGATCGAAATACCAGTATTTTGATTCGGGTCCTTTCGGTTCTGGGCAGTAATAGTGTTCTTCTGTAGGGCCATGGGCTTCCGGGCGTAAATGCTACAGTTCTGGAGTACCACAGCGGCATTTCCAAAAATAAAATCCACCGTTCCGTAAATGTCACATTCACGGTAGAATTGGCGATTGGAGTGAACATATAAAGTGTCTTGGTATCCAGTGATGCTGCACCTGTAAACCACAGCATGGTCTGCCCCAACCCGAAGAGCCACTGCCTGGTGCTTGGCTGGTCCGGCCCAGTTCTCAAATGTCATGTCTCGTGCAATAAAACCAGCCCCAGTTGCCGCTGAAAGGAAAAAAAAAAATGAAACGACCAATGAATACAGCTCTCTCTTAGAATGAGGCAAACATTAGTATTTATTTAACTTTTGATCAGAAAGTTGCCGCCAATAAAAGTGTAATTCGTTGATAGAATATTATATTCTTAATTTCAATAATTATATTTTTTTAAAATAAAAATAATAATAAGATGCCAATTAGTGAAAGGAGATAGCCGCATGAACCACCTCCAAGAATATCAACATTTTAGCATTAAATTTTGTAGATAATTGGATAACCAAAAGCGCATGTTTTATGATAGAGAGGGGAATTAGAACATTCTGATTATTCCAATGAGAGCTTCAGCCTCAATACTAATTCACTAGCAATCAACAAAAACATAGCTTAAGCAATGTCATTATTCCATTCATTTCCCAACAGTTTCCTTAAATTTCTTTTTTTTCTTAATATTGTTTCTGCTTTCAGGTTTCCTGGAAGGGTAATTGTAATTTCCAGTTGTGTGGACAAGGAAGGTGGTAAGGTGAAGTGGCCACAGGACTCTAGGACTTTGTCGGTCTAGAATAACAGCCCACGTGCAATTTCTACTTCATGCATGTTTAGTGGTTTGGGTCCAATGGTTTTCCATTTCCCCTAACAAATAAGTTGTTTTATTTGAAGGAGAATACATTAGTTGAAGGAGAATAAAAAAAATAGTTGAAGGGTAAACTTACCGAAGGCAGCAGTGTGGAATGTAGTCATGTTGTCAAATACACTTTTTCCTCCTGTAATGACTGTTTTACCCTTTCCGTCACCTATAAACATCAAGTTTATTTTCTTCTTCCCCACCTTTAAATTATTCTCTTCGTACCTGTAAATTTTTATTACTAACTTTTAATCTTCAGACAGTTGTAATTTCAAAAAATAGAAAACCAGTCAATTTTTATATTTAATTTAATTTCAGAAAAATAAAAAATAAAAAATAATTTCTTTTTAAAAAAAAGTGAAGAAAATTTTCCCAAAAGCGGTGAAGTGAAAAAATGCAATCATCAACTGGAAAAGGTTCAATGACGAACTGCAATACAAGACTACTTTCGTCGTTTTAAGTTATAAAACAACAGTGACGAAAAGTAAGAGGAAAAGTATGGAAAGGTAATTTTAGAAAAGCCCCAAGAAAAAGGCTGTCCTAGTAAATTTGGATCCATAATATAACCACAATTTACCTTCCTGCCCTCACATATATGATGATCCGCCGAGTACTATGCTCCGGTGCCTTCTTAATCGCCTCATTAATCGTCTTTACGGTGCCGTTTCCATCTTTCGAAACGATTATGTCAGCCTGGATCGCCGACACGGGAGTGTCCAATAGCTCCCTCTCTCTTCTCCCCAGCCATTTTGGGAAATTCTCCTCATCGACGTTTTCTCCTGATTTATCGTCGTCCAACGCCAGCAACCTCCTGTTCTGTATCGGCACTCCCGCGAAATCGTCTCCGCCACTCGCCGCGAAAATCGACAAGCAGTTACTCACGAGCTCCGATAAGTCATTCAATTTGGCGGCCACTTGATCTTTCACCGCCCCGCTCACTCCCTCAAATCCCTCCGTACACGTGTCCTGATTCGTCAACGCCGCGCTTAACCACGTCATCACGTCCTGAGTGGACCCGCCTTTATTGTAGCCGTCCTGAGAAGGAATGACGGAGTAAGAGGAACGGGAGAGGGCGTCGACAGAATCTTCCAGAAGCTCGAGGCAGTCATCGTATGCTGACCGTACACGCGGATCCATCTGGACGTAGGAGATGGACGTGGTCATATAAAGGGCTTTGCTGAAGTGCTGCAACGTCATATTGAAGGAAATGTGGACGAGGTCTTGCTCACTAGCAGTCAGCGAGCCAGGGAATTCGAGGAGTGAGTTGACACAGAGGTTTGGGAACCGAGTTTTACTACATGTCTTGGAAATAGCTTGGGTGGGCTTACGGCGGATTGGGGTGCCAACAGGGTCGGCGCCTCCTTCACGGAGCCCAATTACGAGGCCAGCACAGACAGCTGAGACAATGATCATAACCAGGGCAATAACTGAAATGATAAGAAGCTTTTTCTTGTTGTTTTTAGCTCTGGGTTCTTCATGTTGTTGTTGCTGCTGCTGAGGATTTCCAGAGCCTCCAGGTCCTGAAGGTCGGAGCCTGTCGTATCCCATTTCTCTTTTCCTTTCTTGTCTGCGGTGGCTCCAAATCAGTAACTTTGAAAATGTAGAGAGAAATTAGAAAATAAATTAGAGGTCGGTAAAGCTATAAATATCACTACATCTACAACATTATAAAGTTGAAAGAAAATGTGAACGTACGTACATAAATAAGAGTGTGTGGTTCAGTGGTTATATATAAAAAAGAAATGGTTGAAGTAGAGACGTTCGGGGTCAAGTCTATGTACCAAGCATGAGCTGTCCTCTACTTTCAGCTCTTTTGGCCCACTGGGTTGGGTTACAAATTAAACTCCCATCCACCAAAAATAAAAAATATAAAAACAAATCTCCTTGTTTTGCTTTTATCATATTATATCATATCATATTTTGGATAAAAAGAGTGAATGATAAAAAAAAAATACAAAAATGATTCGATGCACTAAGGAAACGATAGAGATATGATTAAGAAAGAAAGAAAGTTGACAGAATTTTTTGTTTGCTTTTAACCAGTTATAGGACGAAGACTTAGTTAACAAGTTTAATTTATGAGTGGATTTGTTGGTTTTTTTTTTATATATAAAAATGGATTTGTGATTCATAAAATGTCTGTTAGTTGTGAACATCATTGAACTTAAACAGAGATTTCAGAATCTAATTAAAACTCTTTGTGGTATTTTTATGAGACAGTAGTTAGGATTTTTTTTTTTTTCTTTATTGGCTAATTGGATTTTTATGCATATGTTTAAGTCTGCATTGCTTTGTTTTTCTCATGACCAAGGTCTGATTTCAATCTTATTCCACTCAAACTACATATAAAAATTAAAAGGGTATGCTTTAAATTTTAGTTTAATTCTGTACGGATAAAGTAAGTATTATTTAAATCACGTACAATTAAGATTATACTCTTATTTGCTTTAGGTTTTTTAATAATATGATCAAACGTATTTTCAAATTTTAATTCAATGATATTATTATATGAATATTGTACTTAATTATGATTACCCTTTAATTTTCAATTTTTGTTGATTAGTACAATTGAACAAGGGTAGAAGAAGTTAATTGCAGAAACGAGGCACAAAGACAAATCAATAATCATGCATGTAATTGCTTAGCCAACAAGATATACATGAAGGACTAACACTCTGTAATGGCTTTGCTAATTGCACGATGTCTGCTCAAAAAGTAGGTCCTTTATGTTCTTTGCTTTATGCCCCCTCTTTTGAAGGGAGTAAAGTAATAATATTTAGTGCTTCACGAAGATTATATGTTATGCCAAAATGTATTAAGCAGAAGAATTTATACCATTATAGCACAATCCCACCGGCTTTGCTAAAAGAATCCCAATTTTAATCATGTTTGTATGAAACTAGTGAAAGAAGATCATGCACAATTCATGAATTGTATAATCGAGAACTACTCATACTGAATTCTATTAAATTCAATAATTTAAAATATAATAAAAAATATAAAAATACGATAAAATTTAAAATTTTAATAAAAATTATATAAAATTTTGATAAAAAAAATATTATGTTTAATTTATTGACACAAATTATAATAAAATACATTAAATATTTAATAAATAAATATAAATACACGAATTATTATATTTAAATTATACTAATAAATTATTACTTTATTACTTGTTATTCTCTAATCTTTTAGATTATGCCCCTGTCCAATCTTCTATGCATGCATAAGCAATTGGTTAAGATGCTTTTTCATCCTTTCCATATCATCCAATTCATCCTTTTTCTTTTTCTTTTTTTTTTTTCCCTCTACCTTTACAATTACGTAATTTGCTTCCTAAACTTGCTTCGTTCTATCATTTGGTTAGTGGAGATCCACAAAGAAGTGAGGCTCGTAAAGAGAATGAAAAGAACAAAGAAAAAAAGAAAAAAAAAAAAAGGTGTTTATCTAAATTAGTACAATATTTTTTTTCTGGTAGAGAGGAAAAGTTATGGGGAAATTAAAAGATAAAGTCACGGAAACTGGGGTAAATATTAGTATCTACAAGTTGTATACAAATATTAATTTGATAATTAAACAATGTTGGAAACATAACATACCTGAAACTTTGAAGGTCACTGATTGGAATTTTTTTTATTTATAATTATTAGGATTTGAAAATTAATTATTAAAAAGTGTTAGGTTTTTTATTAATAAGTTACATAATTATTGATAAATTAAAAAATTTTGCATGAATAAAACCATATATATTTGCATGGACCTAATAAAATTATATATAATTAAACTAAAATTAAATAATTATTTAAATTTTATTATTTTATTATAATTAATTAAATGAAATATACGCTTTCAAAAATAAAAATAAGAAAGATATATGAAAATGTTTAATAAGTTAGGTAACAAAATTTGATTAAATTTATTGGAAAAGACTTTGAATTTCATTTATAAATAAAGTTAAATTAAAACAAACGGTTGGAGCTAATAAAAAAAATAAAAGCGTGTAAATTGAGCCCCGAAGGACACGCGGTGTGAAGTAAGACTCCACCGACAGTTGTTAGAGTAGTGATTTTTTAGCAAATAAATTGTCGTGACCTGCTCTCTCTGACTTTCTGAGTTTGAAATGAAAGTGAATAACGTGAGCAGGCTGCTCTTTCATTCATGCACTGTACTTTATCACTGTAGCATTGTCATAAATTAAGATGATTGTCTTGTCAGCTACCGGTTACGGAAAAAATTATTGATACAATTTTGAGTTATCCAAAAAAATAATATTAAAAATAAATTAAATCAATTTATATAAGTCCAAAACTTTTAATTTTATTTTTTTAATCATTAATTTTAATAAATTTAAAAAATTAAATTAAATTATTTTTTATTTATCTCTTTCGTGTTTTGAATTTATTAAAATGAATGGTTAAAAAATATTTAAAATTAAAAAATTTTATATTAATGTAAGTTGATTTAACCCTTAAAAAATAATATTTAATAATTTAAAATTTTAAAATCTTATACTTATAAATTTTTTATTTTTAATTTACGGTCTCTTTTATATATAAAAAATTATTTTGTAATTAAATCAATGTCACTTTTACATTTGTATAATAAGTATCCTCTTCTTTTACACTATCTTCCTTAAAAAAAACTGCTTAATTAAAGCATTAATGATGTAAAAAAAATGATAAATATTAATAGAGATTAATTTATTATTAGTAGGTTAGTCAGATTTAGGGGTGAGAAAAAAATTTTAAAAATAAAAAATCAATTCAAAATTATATTGTTCAATTTTGTTTGGATTTTTTTTATTTGGTCTGAATTATATTCAAATATTAAATATATTTTATATTAAGAGGTGAAAATTTTAATTGAATTAAATTATATATTTTTATTAATTTTTATAAAATAAAAATATTTATTTTATACTTAAATCTATTTAAATATATTAAAATTATATTAAAATAATATATAAAAATAAATTTAAAAATTTGATAAATTTAACCAAAATGGTATAATTTGATTTAATTGAATTGTATAAAAAATTATTTCAAAATTTATAATTTTATATATTATTTAAAAAATTAAATCGAATTCAAATTATTATCACTCCTCGTAAGGCCGTGTGACTGAAAAGAATTCTTTTGCAACTCTTGCATCTGCGTTTGCCTACAATATTTGAGTAATAAAACACAATTCATACCTAATTACCGAAGCAAACAACTTAAAGCCCTGTTTCAATGGTTAAAAAGGATAGCTTGAGATTTGTTTAATTTGTTCAAATCTCAGTTTAACTGTCATTTAGTGTCAGTGTGGTCCAATTATTAGTTTAATTTGCTAATTAATTTTTAATGTATATTAAATTTATTTAATATATTATTCAAATTTTAATTTAAATAATCAAAATTTAAATATCAATAACTTTAAATTTTAAAAAATTAATTTTATTGCTAAATGTAATTTCATACCAAAAAAAAAATGAAACCAAGCTCTTATTTATCCAAAGCATTCCGGAAGATATTATTAATTGAATGAAGCTAATGGACTATTAAATAATGTTGCATATGTATACAAAGCATGCTTCATAAATTTTTCCAAAACAGATGAGATTCTAAAGAACATATTATTTTGTTTCGAAGAAATTAAGGAAGAACAAATAAGAAACAAGTTTATATATATTTTAGGGACAAAACAAGAAAAATAAATAGTGGAGGTCTTATGCCTTTTCTTTCTAGTTATCGGAAGGGAAAAGAGCTGTGATTCAAGATTCTTCACTCTCAATATTAGTCATATTATTAATATATTTGACTGGATGGTAAAATTAAAAATATATTAATGATAAAATTAAATATAATAATTATGAGAGTAAAATTAATAATAAAGTTAAATATGATAGTTGATTATCTTACCAAATTCTTTGGATACTCGTTACATTTCACTATGTTGGAATTCAAATCTCTTGAAGAAAATATCAATAAAGCCAGATATACTTCGTCGTTTTTGTCACTTGCCACATCAGCTTTTGGACTTTGTTCCCCCATCGCACCATGTTTCTCTCGCAAACTCTTGCACCGTGTTTGGTTCCCAGGAAAGAAGGAGCAGAAGAATTAGGGGTTTCACTTCTTGATTTCAAACAAGGACTAATGTAAACATCCATGAGTACGAGAGTCAATGTAAAATATTTGGGCAGTTTATGAAAATAGCATCCACTTTTCTCTTTTATTTTCTAACATAGGATGACTCACAACTTTTGTCTTACTTCTTTTTTGTTTGTCCATTCTGTAGAGAAAGGAAAACAAGTAAGCAAATGACCCACTTGATTCTACACAGTAACTTAAAAAAAAAAGTATAATTGTTTCCTTGGAATTAGAATGAGAAATTCATCGAATATTCCTAGGATTTAATGTCGGGTTTGTCTTTCTTTGTAATTCCCAAAATTGATTTCACCAAGTATTCTTAGCCATACAAGTTCCTGCATGAAAACAGATTGGAGAAAAAAAAAAAAAAGGAAAGCAATTTGACCAATTAGAAAAGAATATATAAAAAAAAGAAAAGCAGAAAATTTGAGGTCCACGCGGCACCAAGCAAAATCCAAAGTCCAAAAACCCAAAGGCAAATTAATTAAGCAAGTGACCACTTCTATGGTGGTAGGAGACATCGGAGCTTATTTCCCGAACTCCATCACATGATTTGCCATATGACGTGCAATA